TACATGTTAACTGAGTTTATAAAGTCAATTTATCTCTTCAGAATTCCTATTATTTAGTTAAATATAGAACACCCCCTATCAGAGCACTTATTAGTAACTGTTTGTTCTATAAAGATAGTACTTCCTGTTTTGAGTACCTCCAGTCTTCCACCTAATGGTAAGGTTAATTTACTGTTGAGAATTCCATAGATCTGACTGTTCCCAGTAACCACCATTAACTTTCTAGATTGTCACTTTCTTACAGAGTAATTAGTAACCCTATTTATCCAGCTTCGTTCATAAAGCTGTGTCTAACAACTACAAAAAAAAAAAGAAAACATAACATGTGAGTTTTGCCTGTTAAAAAAAAAGTTACTGCTTCCCAAATTGCCATGTGTGTTACCCAGCTGCGTAAAAAAATAAATAAATAAAGGCATCACAACTTAGATTATTTCAAAGCAGGAAAACCTGACAAATGGAGTTTTTGAGATTAATACTAATTTCTGTAGAAGATAGTGAATGAATATTCTTATACCGAAGTAACATTTTAGCTACTATAAAAATACGTAACTTCTACAAAAACCACAAACAGTGAAAAGACAATCCAGTAAATGCAAGATTTGTAAAAACTATGCACAAAAAAAAATACCAAGTTATTTAGGAAATGGGAAAGGTTTCTACAGGTGGTAGTTAAAAAAAGTAACTTTTGACCACCATCAACTACATATTAACATACAATAATCAAAAATATACTATAACTCTAACTCTTAAAAAATAAAAGCAATTTAACATTTCCTGAATCAATGTTTCTCCGCAAAAGGCACACACTTTTACTGTGCATATAGCGGTTAATACTTCACAAATACAATCATCAAGAATGGTTACTTTTTAAATCAAGATATAAAGAGAATGTTTCCCCTTAAAACAAGTTATTAAACATCAAAACCTATGCTTGTAAAAATTATTTGAAATTTTCAGCAGTCAAATTTTTAAATGAAAAAATTGTGACAATTCTCCCTTCAAAATTAGTTCTCTAAGGGGCAGCTAGGTGGTGTAGTGGATAGAGCACTGGCCCTGGATACAGGAGAACCTGAGTTCAAATGTGGCCTCAGACACATAACACTTACTAGCTGTGTGACCCTGGACAAGTCACTTAACCCCATTGCCTAGCCAAAAAAAACAAAAACAAAAACAAAAGAAAAGACAAAAAAAACCCCGAAATTAGTTCTTTACTAGATGTTTTTTCTTCATGGTGGCTTCATGCCTATCTTTACTTTCCTCATTGCTTTCTTCATTGTGTTGTGGCTGGTTATTGTCTTGAATTTCTGATCCACCATTCAAAGTTTTCAAACCTGTTTGTTCATTTTTTAGCTTTTTATTTGGACCTTTCTTTCTCTGTTCTTTTGTTTTATTAGCCTCCTCATGTTGCCTTTGTTCAGCTAGTGATTTATTCAGCACTTGTGTAATAACAGAATCTCCTTCACCAACTAAAAACATGTTCTTCAACTTGTTGTATAGCATTGTAGACTTTTCCATAATAACCTAACTTTAAAGCACCTTATTTTCTTTAATGCTGTAATCATCTCTGTGTGTTTAATTTTTGTTTGTATTCTTTGAAGTCGAGAGTCCATTGATGCTTCTCATTTCTTCTCCACTTTCTTAACTTCTGGCTTCTTGCTTTCATCTTTATTCTGTGGTTCAGCTTCCTTTTTCTGTCTGCTGCTTCTTTCTCATGTTGACCTTTTATTATATTCCTTCTATGAGCAGCCTGAAAATTTCTTCCTCCTTTTCTCTTCTGTTCACCTTCTTGATCTTCACCTTCCTCTTCAGAATCAGAAGTTGATGCAAAGCCTGCTTTTGTTGTAGTTTTTCTCTTTGGCTCAACTTCCTTCTTTCTTTACTTTTTGTCTTGCTCTTTCCTTGGTTTATCTTCTTCCTTCTTGACCTCTTCATCCTTTCTCAACTGCTTTTTTGGTTGCTTTTCATCTTGACCCTTTTTTTTTACTTTCATCCTCTTCAGTAACATTGTCATTGTCTGAAGGACAAGGCAGTTTCACTATTTTGGGTCTCCCTCTTGGTTTTGGAACTTTTACTTCTCTAGCTGATGGTCTTCCTCTTTTAGAACTCACTTTTGGAGAGATGATGTTGCTGTTGCTGCAGTCACTATTCCTACCTCTTCAGTTTCTACTTGCTTTTCTGCCTTTCTCTTTCTTTCTCTTCTAGCAGCCTTTGGAGTGGTTATGTCCATTGTTTTAGTCACATCTTCTTTTGAAGCACTAATTTCTTTTTCTTCAGTCTTAACATCAGAAGGTGCATTTGACTGTTTTGTAGATGCCTGTTGACTAGAAAACTTCACTTTGGGGTTATTGTCTATTTGCCATAATCCTTCATTAAGGCCTTTTCTTTTATTAGGTTTGCCATATTTATCTTTATTTTCTAAGGAAATATGCCCTTTGGTTCCAAAAAAGCAGTCTCATGAGTTCCAAAGAAGAAAATAGGCAGTTTATTTGTAGGTGGCTTTACAGCTCCATCAGGAACTTCATTTACTAGGGTGGCCAGTGGGGGTAACCTTTCATCTTGGCAAAGATCAGGTCTCCCGGTTTGAAATCTCGAGTCATCTCGGGGCCACAGGGCTGGGGGTCCCAACCCCAGGGACAAGCAGCAGTGACGAGAAGTTGCAGGGGTACGGAGGGAGCGTCAGTCTTGGCTGCCAGGGGAGCCCACAGCCTCCAGATGTGCCTGCCTGGACCTGGCACTACCTCCTCGGCCCTGGTCCCAAGCGAGAAGCTGCGCCACCACATGCAGCAGCTCTGTCTTCCTCCCTCAGACCCCCAGACTGCAATTCTCTGCTTAGCATTTTAAAATCCAGGTAGACACCAAAGGTGGATATGCAGCCCTGAAAAGGGCTCAGCAGGTCCACAAACTGGAGGTGCTAGTCCTTCTCTGAACATCCCATACACCTCTTACCTAAGATGATAGCAATGTGACTAAAGATGAGGGAACAGATGTGAGAGATACAATGGAATGAATCAGATTGACATTTCCAGTTCTGATGATCTAAATTTTGATGCCCAGTTGCAGCTGCAATTCCTGAGTAAGCCTCCTGGTTCACTTGTCATAGTGGGAGTTAGAATACTCTTTGCCCCCACTGCTACTGCCAGGTTTTTCATCTACCACCATCACTCAGCAACCTCTCCTTTTTTGAGGGTCATTCAATCCATATTTATCACTGATCAGGATTCTGGTAACTGATATCTACCAACTTCTATGGCACCCTCCTTCTTCCTCAATGAGTTCAGTGCCTGGCTCAGTCTTCTTCTCTTCCCCAACAACTTCCCTGATAATAGGTGACTCTAACATATTGAAACTCCCTCAAAAACCCTACTCCCAGTTCCTGAAATGATCTCTTAATTGTAAAATCTAATGGCCTTTTGCCAATTCTTAGCCTTCTTGACTTTAACGCTGTTGATCACTCTTTTCTCCTTGATACTCTTTTGTGTGTAGTTTTCTATAAACAATACCCTATCCTGGTTCTCCTGCCTGTCTGACCACTCCTTATACTTCTTTGCAGGATCTTAATCCAAATCTGTCTAACCAAGGATGTCTTCCAAGGCTCTGTCTATACTATTTCATTTGGTGAAGTTGTCAGTTCCCAGGGATTCAGTTATCTTTTCTATGCAGATGATTCTCACATCTGCCTACCTAACCATAACCTCTCTGGTAAACTCTAGTCTTACATCTTCAACTGCCTTTTGGACATAGACATCTTAAACTCAACATGTCCAAAACTGAACTCACTATCTTTCCCCCAAAATCCTCCCACTTTAGTCCAGTCTCACAACCTAGGTATCATCCTTGACTCCTCACTCTCACTTCTTCCTTCCTTCCACACCCCATCTGTTGTCAAATCTCATCCAAGAAATATTGATAAGTGCTTCCCACATGGGGAACCTCCCAGAAACTTGATCCCATCTGCCCTCTTACCTCTTCTTCCCAGGATGCCTGAAGGACAGTCCTACAGCACTTCATAGGTCATTGAAAAGATCAGAGGAAGGAGCTTCATATCTGAGACCTCATTTTAAGGATAGACTTGTAAATACAATAAAACAAAGGACAGTTGCTTGTATCTAGACCCCTACAGACAAGGACAGTAAAAAAAAAAAAGGGAGGAGTGGTATAAGAAACAGTATTCTCTCCTCACTAATTGATAGGTATTTCAAAAGCTGCCAGATCCCAGGCACTAGCCCAGTCTCATTTCTCTACATGTTGATCCCCAATCATTTTGGCTCTTCACACATTGATACTTTATCACTATATTTGATGGTCTTGGTGGCAGCAGCTGCTAACAATCCAGTATCTGATTCCCAGAGTAGCTCACCCGCATAGCTGAGAGGGAAGTAGAGTTCAGCTGCTTCACATCCCTTTCTCTACTCCCAAATGGGAAATAGGAAGTTTTTCTTGAGGACAAAGAAAAAGGAAACAGAGAACTTGAAGTCAGTGCATCCCATCCCTGTCCTCTCCTGAGGCTTCTCCTTCATTATTAGCATTCACTCTCCCAGTCTCCCCAAAAGTGAAAAAAATGGCAATCATCAGAAGCCAAATTATCAGTAAAGGGCGGGGTGAGTTATCATGTTGTTACCTTTCACTTTTTCCAAATCAACATCACACCCCTAGCACCTGGGGAAAATAATAATTCAAATAGTTAAAAGGGCAATATGTGGGCACCAGGATTTTTGTTGGACAAGTAAAATGTGCCATGAGATCAGGTGAGGGAGAGGTTTCTAGCAGGGAGATCTGAGAAGGCTGATGGAGGAGGTGCCATTTGAGCTTGTGTAGTGTGGGTAGAATGTCAACGGGAAGAGATTGAGGAAAAGAGGATACCAAGTGGTTTACTCCCCTACCACATTCCCTGCAATGAAGGAACATGAATACCTGCATGATGCATTATGAATGGCTCTCTTAAGAAAAAAAGGCATTCCTAAGAGGAAGAAACAGTTAAAATATTCCATCCTTTCTTTTAGTTCACCAGGACATGATTACAGCTTCTCAAACTTATCTAAAATAAAAGATAATATATATGTCAACATCTTTGATGAAACTGTGATTGAAAAACATGAGGTAAGGTGTAATACTAATACTATTAATACATTTTAAAATAATTTCCAAGGAAAGCAATCTGAATGAAAACTGATTAGTAGGAGATTGGTTTTGGTGTATCATTAGCCCCATGTCTTCCCTAAAGCATCTCTTTCCCTGTTACTTCCTCTCTGTGCCTCCCTTCCTGGTGTCCCCTCACCCTGATCATTTTTCTTCCTATCTTCTTTGTGTTTACTTCTTCCTCTTCACTTCCTGCTTACTGGCAAAAGCACTAGAGCTAGTTCACCTGGAAGTAGGCTTCCAGGCAGGCTAAACCTGTATGTATCTGGAGGTAACAAAGCAAGCTCACCTCCAGCTTTGTATTCAACAGTCACGTAGCAAAAATTCAAGAGATCAAGATACCACCAAGAAAGCAAGGAGCTGTAGACTTAAATACCTTTGTCATTCTAGATTGAATATTAAAAGGAATATTGTAGGGGCAGCTAGGTGGCACAGTGGATAGAGCACTGGCTGTGGAGTCAGGAGGATCTGAGTTCAAATATGACCTCAGCCACATAATAGCTGTGTGACCCTGGGCAAGTCACTTAACCCCCATTACCTCTGAAATTAAAAAAAAAAGGTAATACTGTTATACACTTTAATGCTTCTCTTCCAAATGTAGAAATTGAGTGCATACTCATTAAGGATAATAGTAGGGAATGAGCAAGCTTTCAATCCACTGAAAGATATATATACTAACATTAGTAATTAATTATATTAATTAGTAATCTATTTTTTTTAAATGTGGGATCAAATTGTTTGCAATTATTGGCAGGGCTAATGAATTATATACTTAAATAGTATATGAATGAATGTATAATAAATCATAATTATTTTTCTTATTAGGATCATTGTCTCAAGGGCTGTAGTGGTCACTCATATATAAGAAAAAATTGGCTTGGATCAGTTATTTTCCCTTTCTCTGCTCTTCTGCAGCAACCAAAGGTATTAACAAAAGATTATTAGACTAAAAATGCCAAATTTAACTTGAGAAAAATATATCTTCCCTTTTTTCTCTTTTTTTTTACTTCAGTTCTCTGATCAGTAAATTTGAAGGAGGCTGAAATGGCAGGAGTATGCTTAGGAATGCCCTGTGTACATGGACACAGTTTGAATTATTTGGCTCTTTTACAGATAAAAGCCATCAATGAAGAATTTTCTCCTCTATGGCCCTTTGAAGGATATATTTCAGAGCTATATTAAGAAATTTAACACTAATGGAATCACAGAAATAATACTGATCTATACTTCCTCTCTATATCTTTCCAAAAATGTTATTTGCGAAGATAGCAGTCAGTGTCAGACCAGTCATCAATTACTTTAATTGATTAGTACATCCTCTTTGGCTGGCCTGATTCTTACTGACAGCTCCTTTAGTACCAGTGAATGCAGAGTCACTGTCCATCTAGCTGCACACCTCTGCTAATTGAATGGACTCAAGGAGAAGGAACTACACTGTAGTCTGAGGACTGAGAGTGTTTGCTGCTGCTCCAAAAAACATTGACGCAACAGACATTTCCAAATCCCTAGGTTACTGCTTAGTGTTTCCCTTACACTATCTTAAAGAACTGTCCAGTCAGTTCCTGGAAGCCACACTCCCAAAAGGTGACCATATAATCCATTCCTTTCCAAAATTCCATACAGTTGCCAGAATCACAACAATTTGCTCTATAAGCATTCTCCCTGAAACCAGACTCTTTTCAGTCCCATCGCTGCACTCCTAGTTCCCAAACCATCCTGAGATTGTACTTTCTGATGCTCCTAAATATGGATCGGGAGAAATCTTAAATGATAGGGAAGAAATCTTCAATAGGGCACACCTGTGTCTCTCTTTTTCCTCTTGGCCTTATAGTCTTTCACATTTGAGACTGAATCCTGGCTTTGCCACCTCCTACTTCTGTGTCCTTTAGCAAACTCCTTACCTTCTCTGACCTTCAGTTTCCTCATCTGTAAAGTGAATGAGTTAGAAAAGACAACCTCTCAGAGAGTTTCCAACTCAAACTTTCTGTCATCGTATATGAACTCCAGGGAAGAGGACCTGGAGTGTCAAAATTTGAGAGATTCCCACCACAAACCATAAGTGGCAGCTCTGTCTGCCATCCTTCCCTGGAGCTCCTGCCACAGTGCCCAGCACCAAAAGGCTAGGGCCTGAGGAACAGTGCTTACTTGCTTCCTTTTTGTCATGCTAACATTTGTCTGGTTTTACAAGTGTGGCCAGGCCTCAGTTTTGAAGTAGCTGGGGAAAGCCTCACTGATGTTCAGTCATGTTAAATTGTATCTCACTCTTTGTGACCCTGTTTGGGGTTTTCTTGGGAAGGGTACTAGAATGATTTGCTATTTCCTTTGCCAACTCATTTTATAGATGAGGAAACTGAGGCAAATAGGGTTCAGTGAATTGCCCAGGGTCACACAGCTAGTAAATGTCTGAGGCCAGATTTGAACTCAGGAAGATAAGTCTTCCTGACTTCAGGCCCAACACTCTGTCTACTATGCTGCCTCTTATTGTTGGGGGGGGGAACTGTTATTAATGACTGAATGTATAAAGTTTTTTTTTCCTATTATAAATATATAATGAACGTGGTTATAAAAAAAAAACTGGTGGTGGTCTTGAACCTAGGGAAGCAAGCAGAGCTGTTGCCACCTAGCCAAGTCATCTCTTAGGGAGCTGATTATGTCAGAGTGTCTTGGTGGACTCTAACAACAAAAACAGAATTTGCATCTGTATTAACATTTGCAAAGCACCTCCACGAGCATTCTTTTGTTTGGTTCTCACAACAGCCCTTTGAGAAAGGCAAGACAGTTGTTGTGATCCTTATTTTACAAATAAGGAAATGAAGAGACTGTAATCAAAGTCTCAGAGCTAATAAAGACATACTCAGGACTCATACCCAGTTCTAGTTCTCTTTCCACTACACAAGCTTCCCATCGCTTCCTTTTATTTTTTTTTTAAACTTTTGCTTTACTCTAGGTCATTATGAGGCCAGCAGCCAAGACACCATATGGGAAGAGCAGCTCTAAGAAGTTGTTCTTCTGGGGGCAGCTAGGTGGTGCAGTAGATAGAGCACTGGCCCTGGATTCAGGAGGACCTGGGTTCAAATCCGGCCTCAGACACATAATACTTAGTAGCTGTGTGACCCTGGGCGAGTCACTTAACCCCATCACCTAGCCAAAAAAAAAAAAGCAGCAGAAGAAGAAGTTGCTCTTCCTGTGAGGATGGAGAAAGCAATTCTCTAAGCGTGGAGTAAGCACAGACTCTTAGGGCTGCCATGTAAATATGTAAGCCTGCTCCTCCTCATGCAAAGGATAGAATTGGGCTTGGACGGTAGTTGGTCACTCATGCATTAGAGGGTATGTTTGATATTCTTTCAGATCAGTGGAACTTTTCAAGTAAATATTCCACCACTTTTGCTTGGATACACTTGGAGTAAGACATATGTCTCACCTAAAGAAGATTACAATGGGCAGAATTTAAAAGAATGTACCTTTTTAAACATTTTTGCTACTATTGAGCCTCAAATATCATCTGTTATCAGTAATACAGAATCTGATAAGGTTGGTTTTTCAAACAGTTATTTTATATGTATCTTCAAGGAGGATGGAAGAGGTATGTAAATTATTTGTTTATAAGTAAATAATTAAAATTATATATAATAATTATACATATAGCAATTAACCTTATATCATACAAATAAATAGTACCTTAGCTTAACTTTTTACCTTTTGACATTTTCTTCTGAGAATAATCTAGGTAGTGATAAATATCTAGATATTGCATGAAAAATTTAAATTATACTTATGTTATATATATGACTGTAGTTTACAGATGAACCAGATATAACACTTTTGCAGAGAGCACAGATTTTCAGAAAAGATTGTGAGGCGATATTTCCAAACAGAAGAATTATTACAACTGTTTTCAATGATGAAGGGGCAAATATCTTAGTAACAAGATATATCAGGGCACTAAATCCACCAAAGCAACTCCTGGATTTGTTTCTCAGTGATTCTAATGCAACACTTGTAAGTGTTATATTTTTAAAATACATAAACTTGTGTGGTGTTAGTTTCTACTACAGTTACAACTTTACTGCTATAATAACTGTGCCCTCAAAGACACATGAACTTTTGATTGCAATCAAAGAAGCAATAAAAAATTATTAAATGCTTACTATGTGCCAGGCACTATGCTTTGTATTATGACAATGACAAAAAAGTACCTTTCCTCAAGGAGCACACATTCTGTCAACAAAGACAATATGGACACATATATGCAAATTATATACAAAATAAACACAAGGGTAGAGGCACTGGCAGCAAGGAGAATAAGGAAGGCTTCATGTAGGAAGAGGTTCTTGAACTGAGCTTTGAAGGAAGCTAGAGAGTCTAAGACATATCAGTGAGGAAGGAGTGTTTTTGAGGAATAAGGGGCAATCTTGAAAAGACAGGAATGGAAGATGGAATGTCATGTTAGAAGCAGCAACAAAGCCAATTTTGGCTAGATTGTGTAGAATCCTAGAAAAGGTAGGTTGGAACCAGGTTGTAAAGGGGGCCTTATAAATGCCAACAGAAGAGTTTGTATCTGATCATAAAATCATCAAAGAGACACTCAAGTTTACTGTGTAGGAAAGTGGCATGGTCAGACCTGTGCTTCAGGAATATTGCCTTGGCAACAGTGTGAGAGATGGATTAGAAAGGAGAGAAACTTGAGCAGGAGCACAGATAGAGGGCTATTGCAAGAGTATAGTTGAAGGAAGATGAGGGCCTAATGAGTTTGATGGCTAAGTGAATAAAAAGAGGTGGATGAATAGGATAGATTGTGGAAGTACAATCAACAAGGATTGGCAACCGATTGGATATGTAGGGTAAAGGAGAATGAAGAATCAAGGATGATTCCAAAGTGAGAGTCCGTGTAAGCTGATAAGGTCAGCATGAAAGAGTTGAGAGAAAGAAGAAGACAGTCCAGGACAGAGCTGTGGGGTATACCCATAACTAGAGGAAAGGATATGGATGATGATTCAGCAAAGGAGACTGAGGAGTCCACATAGGTAAGAGGAGTACCAAGAATAGTGTCACAAAAACGCAAAGAAGAGAGAATGGGAAGGAGAAGAGAGTGATTAACAGTGTCAAAGGCTTCTTGAACAGTCAAGAAGGTTGAAGACTGAGAAATGTTTATTGGATCTAACCTTTGAAACTTTGGTAACTTTGGAGGGAGCAGTTTCAGTTGAATGAGAGGGTTGAAGCTATATTGCATAACGTTGAGAAATGAATAAAAAAAGAGGAAGGGGAGGGAATGAGTAAAGATGGTATCTTCTAGAAGTTTTCTAGAATCTCTTCTCCCTTTCAGAATCTACAGTGAATACAATGCAAATGTTTTCCAGGAAAATGGGGAGCAGAAAAGATTTTTCCATTGGATTTTTATTTATTCCTAATTGGAACTAAGAATTATCTTCTTGCAGTGGCAATCTGGAAGGCCACAGGTTCTAACATGCCTTCATACCACTTTAAAGATAGCATAGAAAATTTCTCTCTCAGTACTAAACTAAAGGCCAGTCCCTGAAGCCGATATATTGACAGATAAATCTTGAAATAGCATTGTGGATACAGGAAACGTAAGAGTGAAGCAATTTCATACAGTATTACTCTTTATTTTCATAATGGAGGAGATATACACTACTCTCTTCCATTCCTCATTTAAACACCCAGAGGGCATCCCTTTGTGGGTATAAATCTCCCTGCTAAAAGTCACATTTTCTAACCTATGATGTAGAAAAACAGACAATAAATATCTTCATAATATATTAAATGAAAACTTAAAATTCACTTATTATGACAGGCATATTTAAGATTGTATAAGATTTTACAACAGACCTATTTTAAATGTGTATTATTGCAATTACATATACTTATATACATTTGTAATATTATGTTTGTAGGACATCATTGCTCGATTTGTATCTTTAATTCCTTGCTTACCAGACACACTGAATGAAAATGATGGTTTTGATATTTGGATGTCACCAGAGGTAATAAGCAGTACATTTCATAATTAAAATTTTTATAAAAATGTATATATGACTTTATATATTCACATATATTTCATATGAATATATGTGAAGAAATTGTGATTTTTGTTAACATAGGGAACTTCATCCACCAAAGCAAATCACAACTCCTCTATGGCATAATAGATCAATTTTAGGTTGTTGCTAAGGCACTGAGAGGTTAAGTGACTTGTACAGGGTCACACAAACTAGTAAGTGTCAGAGGTGAGATTTCAACCCATGTTTCCCAACTCCTGACTCTAAGCTCAGCATTCTATCCAGTATCCTGCTTCTCTCTGACTCTCTTTACCTTCTTTCTTTCTTTTCTCTCTGTCTCTCTGTTTTTCTGTCTCTATCTCTCACATACACACAGACACACACACAGGCACACGCACACACACGCACTTTAAGGTTTTAATATTTACTATTTGTCATTCTTTTTAAATGAGCTTTTTTATTGTACTTCATTTTATGTACAGTGAAAATATGTAATTATTCTTTGGGTATAGATTTCTAGGTCCATAACATCCTATAAAAATCATTGGTTAGGAAGAATTAAAAGCTACTTGAAAAACTGGCAATAGTAGCTCATCAATTTTTAGGTATGGTAAATATTTTCAGTTCTCCAGAGATTAGCATAACTACATAGAATTTTTTTTATTATGGCAGTATTATTGCTCTGTGCTAATCTCTGAAACCTCATATAAATGCTAATGATATGTGGCTATACTCCCCATCTAAAGCAGAACTTAGGACCCTAGAGCTTCTACACATTTTATTGGGAGAATAAGTTTGTATCAAGATAGGTATAAAGGTCACAGATAACCTAGAAGGTCTCCCTTAGACCTGAGCCAATTTCTAGTGGAGGTAAACTACAAGCATGTGATGTGATTCCAAGCTCTAGGAGTGCAGATCGAATAGGTTCGAAATAGAGTAATCTCTCCTAAGCCTTTGGATAAAAGAGAAACATCATGATACATTAGAATTTAGCAACTAAGCTAGAAAAGAAACAATTTTTTAAAAAAATTAAACACCAAAATAGAAATTCTGAAAATCAAGTAAAGATATCAATAAAATTGAAAATGAAATAATCATTGAATTAATGAATAAAACTAGAGGCTGTTTTTCAAAAAAGCAACAAAATAGATAAATCATTACTTAATTTTATTTTTTAAAAAACCCAAAGAGGAAAATCAAATTACCAATATAAAAATGAAAAAGAAAAATTCACAGCAAATGAAGAAGAATGGAAATTATTAGAAGTTATTTCATCCATTAAATGATAATACAACTAGCAAATTAAATGAAATGGGTGAATATCTACAAAACTATAAAATATTCAGATTAACTGAACAAGAAATAGAGAATTTAAACAACCCAATCTCAAAAAAAGAAATCGAACAAGCCATATATTAGCTCCCAAAGGGAAAAAAATAGGATTTACAAGTAAATAATATCAAACATTCAAAGAATAATCATGATATTATATAAACTGAAAAATTGGAAAAGTAGGTATACCACATTTCCTCCATGATACAAATGTGGCCATGATATCTAAACCACGGAAAACCAAAACTGAGAAAGAAAATGACAGACAAATTTCTATGATAAATATTGATGTAAAAATTTTAAATAAAATATAGCAAATAGAGTATAGCAACATATCACAAAGATTATACAGTATGACTAAGCTGGATTTGTAAAAGGAATATAGGGCTGATTCAAAAGAATATCGTCAGCAAAACAGGCCATATTAATTGCAAGAACAATAAAAAGTAAATGATTATACCAGTAGATGCAGAAAAAGCTTTTTTACATCCATTCATATTTTTAAAAAAAATACTAGAAAACAGAAATAAATTGATTTTTCTTTAACATGATAAGTAGTATCTATCTAAAATCAAAAGGCAGCATTATGTATAATGGAAATAAACTAGAAGCTTTTCCAACTTGATCAAGATAAAGCAAAGATATCCATTATAACTATTAATATTTGATATAGTATTTGAAATACTAACTATAAGACAAGAAAAATAAATTGAAGAAATAAACAAAAGCAAAGTAGAAACAAAATTACTGATTTTTGCAGATGATATAATGGTTTGTTTAGAGAACTCTAGAAAATAAAATAAAAATTCATTGAAGAAATAACTTCAACAATATTGTAAGATATAAAATAAATCCACATATGTTATTAGCATTTTTGTATTGCCACCAAAACCCATATTAGTGATTTTGTATAAGAAGACTCAAAAGAAAAAGAAATGAAAGAAAGAAAGTGAAAAATAGCCTGCTTCAGTCTTTATTCAATCAACATCAGTTCTTTCTCTGTAGGTGGATAGTATGCTTTATCATTAGTCCTTTGGGATTGTCTTGGATTATTGTGTTGCTGAGAAGAGCTAAGTCATTCATAGTTCTTCAACGAACAATATTGCTCTTACTGTGTACAACATTCTCCTGGTTCTGCTCACTTCACTTTGCATCAGTTCATGTAAGTCTTATCATGTTTTTCTGAAATCATCCTGCTTGTCATTTCTTATAGCCCAATAATATTTTATTACAATCATATGCCACAATTGATGGGCATCCCTTTGATTTCCAGTTCTTAACCACCACAGAAAGAGCTGCTGTAAATGTTTTTGTACAGATAGGTCCTTTCCCCTTTTTTTGGATGTCTTTGAGATGTAGACTTAGCAGTGGTATTGCTGGATCAAAAGGCATGCATAGTTTCATAGTCCTTTGGGCATAGTTCCAAATTGCTCTCCAGAATGGTTGAATCAGTTCACAACTCCACCAATAGTGCATTAGTATCCCAGTTTTCCTGTACATCCCATCCCCTCCAACATCCAACATTTTCCTTTTTTGTCATATTAGCCACTGTGATAGGTATGAGGTGGTACCTCAGAGTTTTAATTTTAGGTTTTTAAAAGATATATTCATTCTTTAAAAAAAAAAAACAGCTGAAATTTGGATATATTGTAATATGAGGTGACAATAGTACCTTAGCCTCATACTTATAGTAACAAACCCTGAAAAGTATAGGCTCATAGATTAGAGCTGCAAGGTACCTTACAATCTGTGTTCATGACAAAGATGAGTTGGGCTATTGTGATACTGAATGCATTTCAGCATGAAATGTATTTCCTTCAAAACTATGCTCAAAAGAGACATTCTACATGAAGTCTTTACTGAACCTTCCCCCACTCCAAATCTTTCAGACATGTTGCTATTTCAAACTAACATTTATCAAGCACCTATTATGTACAGATTAAGCCCACTTGGATCACTGTCTTGTCGTGGTGGAGGGGCTTGCATAGCACAATGAAGCTGAGTGATGCTGTTCAGGATTCCCCAAGATGGACACATCATAGTGGAGAGTTCTGACAAAAGGTGATCCACTGGAGAAGGAAATGCCAAACCACTTTGGTATCTTTGCCAAGAAAACTCTATGGATAGTACTAAAATGATAAAAGAGATGACATCGGAAGATGAGCCCTGTAGGTATCCAATACACTACTGAAGAAGAGTGGAGGACAGTCAAAAATGAAAGAATGATGGCTGTTCAAATCGAGGCAAACCAACATCACAGTAATACATGTCTGTGCTCCAACCACTGATACCAAAGAGGCCAAAGTTGACCAATTCTATGAAGATATACAACATCTACAAATAACATTTTAAAAAAAGATGTCACATTCATCGAAGGGGATTAGAATTCTAAAGCAGGAAATCAAAAGATAATTAGAATAACAGGAAAGTTTGACTTGTAGTACAAAATGAAACAGGGCACAGACGAATAGAGTTTTGTCAAGATAACACACTGGTCACAGCAAACACTTTTTCAATGACCCAAAAGGTGAGTCTACAGATGGACATTATGAAATGATCAATATCAAAATCAGATTGATTGTATGCTTTGAAGCCAGAGGTGGAGAAGCTCTATACAGTATAGTTTAAACAAGACCCAGAGTTGACTGTGGCTCAGATCATGAGCTTCTTATTGCAAAATTAAGACAAATTGAAGAAAGTAGGGAAAACCATCAGATCATATAAGTATGATCTAAATTACATCCCTTATGAATATGAAGTGGAGATGATGAATAGATTTAAGGGATTAGATCTGGTAGATATAATACCTGGAGAACTATGGACAGAGGTTCACAATATTGTACAGGAGGCAGCAACAAAAAACATTCCAAAGAAAAAGAAGAGCAGGAAAGCAAAAACTGATGAGACTTGATGAATAGCTGAGAAAGAAGAAAAGCAAAAGGAAAAGATATACCCAACTGAATGCATAATTCCAGAGAATAGCAAAGAGAGATAAGAAGGTTTTTTAAAATAAGCAATGCAAAGAAATAGAAGAGAATAATAGAATAGGAAAGACGAGATCTCATTGAGACAATTAAAGATATCAAGGGAACATTTCATGCAAAAATTGGCGTAATAAAAGATAAAAATGGTACAGACTTAATAGAAGTAGAAGAGATTAAGAAGAGGTGGCAAAATACACTAAAGAACTATACAAGAAAAATCTTAACATCACTGATAACCACAATGGTGTGGTTACTGATCTAGAGCCAGACATCTTGAAGAATTAAGTGAAGTAGGCCTTGGGAAGTATTGCTAGCAATAAGGCTATTGGAGGTGATGGAATTCCAGCTGAGCTATTTAAAATCCTAAAAAATGATACTGTTAAAGTGCTGCACTCAATATGCCAACAAATTTGGAAAATTCAACAGTGGCCACTGGATTGGAAAAGATCGGGTTATGTTCCAATCCTAAAGAAAGGCAAAGCCAAGGAATGTTCAAACTATCAAACAATTGCAGCATTTCACCCACCAGCAAGATTGTGCTTAAGATTCTGCAAGCTAGGCTTCAGCAAAATGTGAACTGAGAATTACCAAAAAAAAAGCAGGCTGGTTTTCAAGGAGGCAGAGGATCTAGAGACCAAATTGCCAACATTTGCTGGATTGTGGAGAAAACAAGGGGGAGTTCCAAAAAAACATCTACTTCATTGAATACACTAAAACCTTTGACTGTGTGGATCACAACAAAATGTGGCAAGTACTCAAAGAGATCATCTTACTTGTCTCCTGAGGAACTTGTCTGCAGGCCAAGAAGTACAATTAGAACCAAACATGGAACAACTGATTGGTTTAAGATTGGAAAAGGAGAACAACAAGGCTGTATATTATCACCTTATTTATTTAATTTCTGTGCGGAGTACATCATGCAAAATGCCAGGCTGGATGAATCAAAAGCTGGAATTAAGGTTGCTGAGAGAAATGTCAACAATCTCAGCTATGCAGATGATACCACTCTGGTGGCAGAAAGTGAAAGGGAAGAGTGTAAAAGCTGACTTGAAGCTTACACCAAAAAAACTAAGATCTTGGCAACTGGTCCCATCACTTCCTGGCAAATAGAGGAAGAAGGGGGCAGCTAGGTGGTGCAGTGGATAGAACACCAGCCCTGGATTCAGGAGGACCTGAGTTCAAATGTAGCCTCAGACACATAACACTTAGTAGCTGTGTGACCCTGGGCAAGTCACTTAACCTCATTGCCTAGCCAAAAAAAAAAATAGAGGGAGAAGAAGTAGAAGTAGTATCAGATTTTATATTTTGGGGCTCAAAGATCACTAAAGACAGCAACTGCAGCCATGAAATTAAAAGATGCTTGCTCCTTGGAAGGAAAACTATGGCAAATCTGGACAGCATACCATAAAGCAGAGACATCACTTTGACAACACAGGTCCAAGTGGTCAAAGCTATGGTTTTTCTAGCAGCAATGTATGGCTATTAAAGTTGGACTGTGTAAGGAAAGCTGAGTGCCACAGAATCAACACTTTCAAATTGTGGTGCTAGAGAAGACTTTTGAGGGTCCTTGAACAGCAAGGAAATCAAATAAGTCAATACTTAAAGAAATTAATTCAGGCTATTCACTGGAAGGTCAAATACTGAAGTTTAAATACCTTGGCCACATAATGAGAAGACAGGACTTGTTGGAAAAGACCCTGATGTTGGGAAATATTGAAGGCAAAAGGAAGCTGAGATGGTTAGATAGTGTCATGGAAACAATGAACATGAACTTGGACAGATTTCAGGAGATAGTGGAAGATAGAAGGGCCTGGTGTGCTATGATCCATGGAGTCGCAAAGAGTCAGACATGACTGAACAACAATGTACAAGGCACTGTGCTAGGAGTTGTGGATGCAAAGATAGAACAAAAATATTCCTTGCCCTCAAGGAGCATGTGATCCATTGAGGTGTATAACATGTAAACAGGTAAGTTTATATTCAATAATTTGAGGAGGAAGTGAGCATTAACAATGTGGTGGAGCGGAAAACTTCCAAACTGTGAGGGGTATGAGACCCTCTGAAGGGGCATATAAATGGCCAAAATTGGTAGATATTTTCAAGGATAACTCCTACATAAATACATCCACCTTTTTTAAATCAAAGCAATGTACACATCAGAGTTAACAAAAGTGAGGTTAATACCGTGAATCTGCTCTGACAAGGATGAAGGATGAGGACAGAGAAAAACCATACAATTTGGCAATTTAAGAGATCATTGGTTACTTTTGAAAGAGCAGTGATGGAATAATGAGCTAGATTGCAAAGGGAATCAAAGATATATTATTGGGAAACACCTCAGCTTTCTTGTCCCCAAATACTTCCAAAGGATTTGAGCTCAGAGGAAATAAAATGCTATTTTTCTTAGTGATAATGTTGAAGATGAAACATTCATTTTATAACAAAAATTCCCTTGAAATCTGCTGTGGTTGATATTTTGGGGAAAACTACATAAAGCAATGTAAGGTCCTCAAATTCATACTCTGACCCAGAAAGATAAAATTATTTATGAAAATACTGAGCAAAACTGAGATGCTATTTGCTTATTGAAATATTCCTCTTCTCTTTAACAACCACATAATTCTGTGAAGCCGGATTTTCTTTATATACTTCAAGCAAAACACATGTCAAAACCAACTGAATGTAGAAGCAGATAAGAAAATCCAGCTGTCTTCTATTGAGCCAGACATTAAAGAGATTTGTAAAAATATGTAAAACAATGCCAGTTTTTTCACAAAATTTTTTGTTTTAGTTATTTCCATAAAATATATTTACGTGTGACAAGTTTATTATTGTCTTTTAAAAATGAATAAATATTTTAAAATTTTATCAATTTTAATTTCTAACACAGTAAATATGAATAGATATAATTCACATAAACCAAAGCTGTTTGGTGTCCTCTAACAATGTAAAGAGATCCTGAGACCAAAAAGTTTGAGAACCACTGAAAGAAAAGGAAATAAACACCTACTTAAACTTAAAGCACCTACTAGAGATATATAAAGAAACAATTCACATTTTATTTTAAAGACCTAGGTATTTCCCTAATTGATACATGGTCAAAAGATATAAACAGGCAGTTTTCAGAGCTGTCTATAGGTATATGAAAAAAATGCTCTGAATCACTATTGATTAGAGAAATGCAAAGTAAAACGACTCTGAGGTACCACTTCACACTTATCAGATTGGCTAATATGACAAAAAGGAAAATTATAAATGTTGGAGATGTGAGAAAATTGGAATACTAATGCATTGTTGGTGAAGTTGTGAACTGATCCAACCAGTCTGGAGAACAATTTAGAACTATACCCAAAGAGCTACAAAACTGTTCATACCCTTTGATCCAGCAATATCACTACTAGATCTGTATCCCAAAGAGATCATAAAAAATGGGAAAAGACCCACATGTACAAAAATATTTATAGCAGCTCTTTTTGTGGTGGCAAAGAATTGGAATTTGAGGAGATGACCATCAGCTGGGGAATGGCTGAATGAGTTGTGGTCTATGAATGTGATGGAATACTATTGTGCTACTAGAAATGATGAACCAGCGGATTTCAGAAAAACCTGGAAAGATTTACATGAACTGATGCTGAGTGAAGTGAGCAGAACCAGGAGAACATTGTACATAATAACAGCAACATTGTGTGATGATCAACTTTGATAGACTTAGCTCCTCTCAGCAATGCAGTGATCTAAGACAATTCCAAAAGGCTCATGATGGAAAATGAGAAAGAACATCCAGAGAAAGAACTATGGAATCTGAATGCAAATCGAAACATACTGTTTTCTCTTTTTTTTGTTTTTTCTTTCTCGTGTTTTTTTCCTTTTCGTTCTGATTCTTCTTTCACAACATGACTAACGTGGAAATACATTCAATATGATTGTACATGTATAACCTATATCACATTGTATGCTGTCTTGGGGAGGAGGGAAGGGAGGGAGGGAGAGAGAAAAAAATCTGGAACTCAAAATCTTATAAAAGTGAATGTTGAAAACTATCTTTACATGTAATTGGAAAAAATAAATACTATTAAGTGGAAAAAATAAGGTGCTATATATATATATGCTTAAAATAAACCTTTTTTTTAAAAAAAAGACATAGGTATTTCTAAATATGAATGGATATAAATTGATAATGAACTCATTTGCCATGGACAAGTATGATACATTTGGTCTTATTCCATCTGAACAAGAGAGGCTAGTAGATTTATCTTTTAACAGCATGTTGAAAACATGGAATTGAACCTGAAAATATTATGTTTTGGCTATGAATATGGTTTATCAAACAAAGTGGTACAAATTTTACTACTACTGTTCAAAACATTTTATTTGTGTGAAATAGGATTTTCTTTTGGAGCTGTTATAAAAAATGTCCATTTTGATTAATGATTAAAATAGAAATATAAGTAACAGTATCATCATTGATACTACTTTGAGCCAAAAAAAGTCCACATATGATATGATAAAATTTTTATTATTTTGGTTATTTGTACAAATTATAAATATTTTAAATTATTAATGATTTTATCAGTAAATATATTTGTATTATATTATTATACTGAGTGTTTCAAATTTGTGTGTTGTTTAAAATTTTTATAAATTCTTTATTTTATCTGAATAAAATACAAGCTGAGGGAGTTATTTGTATAGAGAGCTTAGTAAAAAATGCACGAGAATGACAGTTATTTTTGGTTAAAAATAAATTTTGGGACAAGGTGTTACTCATTAAAGTTTAGAAACCACTGCCACAGGAATTGGCACATGAACTGAGCTTTTAATGAAGGGAAAGCGTCTAAGAGGTGGATGTAAGGAGGGAGCTTGGCAAAAATAAGTGGAAGTTGGAAATAATTTTCCTATTTAACACTTGTAAAAAATACCAACCTTAGTAATAAATGTGATAAGTGGGGCTTGGGGGCATTTTTGGTATATTCTAGCTACATGGTTGTACTACTCTTTATTTTAATATGCCTTAGCATTGCATCAATTTAACTATTGGAAACAAAGAAGAACATGCAATACTTTTGTGTAACTACTTCCTATATTTTGGAAAGAAAGCCTGGGTGCTATTGGGAACATCTACGTTAGAAGTAAGTATCCATTTTTAACTATCCATTTTTAAATGTACTATAGATGGTGCAAAAACCTTATCAAGTCCTTTTTCAGGTCTTGATGTAAGATATCTCTCCCTTCCCGCCCCCACCCCCCGCCATTTAATTTTTCTCTAAGTAACTGTATGAACAAATAATTCTTGGTTTTTTTTTTATCCAAACCTGTTATTTCATTGTATAGGGAACTCTTGCTACAGAAAATCCCACTCCCAATGAAGATTGGCTGTGATTTAGAGTCCTAGAGAATTACCTCAGACACTAGGGAGTTAAGACACTGGGAATTTGCCCAGGGTCACACAGCTAGTAGGTGTCAGAGTTTCTAAGGTCAGCTCTGTATTTACTATACTGCACTGCCTCCATGGTTGATTGGTGCCCCTATTTTTGACTCAATACCACCTCTTTAATTTAATCTGTTATTATTTATTTGTATATCCTATTTCTTTCAGCCTTTGCCAAGCACAGCCTTTTTCTGGTATTATAAAACTTGAGGATGATATCTATGTCTAGCTATATGTGTCATAATTTCAATTATATCATCTTTCCAAGACCAAAGCTAATTTTAGTTATCCTCCTGAGGTAACATGGTATAGTAGAAAAAGTACTGAATTCATAGTCTGGGTTCAAATCCTGGCTTTGCTACTTACTATCTCTATGGTCTTAAACAAAGCAATTAATTTCCCTGAGCTTCATTTTCTTCTTCAATAATGTTATTGTATTAGGTATTATCCAAAGTCCCTTCCAATTCTAAATCTTATAAAATTTCTGTAGCTCAATCATATCTGTCTTAAGGTGTGGCAACCTTGTTGCCAATCACTCTTGTCCTTTTTAAAAATTCTACTATAATCATAACTCTTATTGCCTTCATCTTCCATACTTCAATGTATCTGTGATCTTATGGGCATGAATATTCCCTCCAGTGGGCTAGATCATAACACATCCACAGTTTCATTTTGTATAGATCTTGTCAATGACCCCTTGTAAATCTTTGACCTCCTGTAATTTTTATATGCTGGGATCAATAACAGCTGTGCTGTCCATTTTCTGTCCTTTACTGTTACTACATGATTAGCTCACTCTCTTTTCTGGCCATTTCTCTCTGATAATGTCCTTTATGAGGCTTCTCTCAATGAAGCTTTGTTTTGCTCATCATGTGTCTTTGGGTGACCCACAAGTTTAATTCTATAGACTGTGGTATTCCATGACTAGTAGCCGTGCAGCATCACCAGAATAGTGCTATTGAGGCTGAGAGGTTACATTAAAAGCACTGCACTAAATACCAAATGCAGTTCAGGTCATTTTCCTTCTATTTAGTTCTATTTAGTCCTTCTATTTCCTTCTATTCAGGCCTAATTTGTTGTCCATCCACAGTGTCTGTTCAGGACAAATGGACAAGCTCTACAGGTTGGCCATCTAATTGAATGTCATGCTTCAGATTATAGGCATTCTTCATCCACCTCTGTTTTCCTTTGTGGACCGTTATGCTGAACTCAAATGATGATGGGTTTCCTTTAGACAGTTTTGGTACTTAACGAAATCAGCACAATGTCATTGGCACAAAGGATCATTTGAAGGACATTATTATCTATTATCTTTCTCCACACCTAATTATTTCAGGGTGTCACAGTTTGTCAGCTGATGGCCCCAGTAGTAACACTGAGTTAGCAGTAGTTAGCTGAGAAAGCTAGTTTCCTAGTTTTCTTTTCCTCTCTATATTTTTAGCTGCCACCAGATGGCAGCAGATATAAGAAGGCAGATAGGTTTTGAGAAAAAAAAATACAATCATGCTCCCAAACTTTTTCTTAACCATAAGTTCTGTGGAACTTGATTATTAATTAAAGAGCTACTATAATAAAATGTGTCTGCAGAGTAAAAAATAAAATAAAATTCTGTTTTACAAAAAAAGTCTCTCCATGACTACTTTGTGTCCTTAGCATCTGGCACGGTACTCATATAATTTCAGTATTTTGGGGCAGCTACATGGTGCAGTGGATAGAGCACCAGCCCTGGAGTCAGGAGGACCTGAATTCAAATGTGACCTCAGATACTTGACACTTATTAGCTATGTGACTCTGAGCAAGTCATTTAACTCTGATTGCCTCGCAAAAACAAACAAAAAGAATTGCAGTATTTTAGCATTGGAAGGGACATTAAAGGCAATTTAATCTAACCTGTATCTGGAAAAGAATCACCACTGCACTATTCCTGATAAGTGAACATCCGTCTTCTTCTCGGAGGCCTTTAATAAGAGTAAACTCCCAAAGAAGCCCATCCTACTTTTTGATAGCTCTAATTATAAACAAAAATTTTTTTCTGACATAAAGCTAAAATTGTCTCTTTATAATTTCTACTCTTGGTTCTTCCTTCTGGGGCCAAATAGAATAAATCTAATCCTTCCAGGTGACAGGCTTCAAATATTTGAAGACTGCTACCATTTTTCACCCTTACTCTTCTGTTCTTCAGGCTAAACATCCCCTGTTCTTTCAACCAACCCTCATCTGGCATATGTGTATTCATGGCCTTTTATTATTCTGGTTACCCTCCTCTGGACACTCACAGTTCTTCTTAGATCGTGGCATCTATAGTAGAATACAACACTCCAGATGTAGTTTGAGCAAGGCAGAATACCAAGGGACCATTATTTCTTTTCCTTAGAAATGATAGCATGACTTCCCTCCCCCTTTTGTAATGTATACTAAACTTGGCTTTCTCTGAGTCTCACAACAGCTTCTGCAACCTTATTTTGGTCAAAGGTTCTCTAATCTGACTGCTCATCTATCAATCTGTCGAGGTTCTTTTCTCTGCTTCTTTGAGAAACACATCCTTTCATCTTTAGCAGAAAAAGGTATCACATGCTGTTTATAAATGTGACATCTAGAATGAACTCAAGCAATCACTAATAAAGTATGTTGTTGGGGGTGGGATTTCCCTTTTTTTTTTTTTAATCACATAGGGGCAAGTGGCTTATGTATTAACTCAAGAAACTGATGAATATTTACTTTGGAATCCATTGACTGGGCAATCTCATAAGCAGTTTGATCCATTTTGTCCCCTGCAAAGTGCTGACTGTTTGTTTGATAATGAAAACGTAAGTCTGTTTAAAATGTTCAAATTTAAGGACCAACTGATGTTTTGACCTAATAATCTCCAAACCTTAGATGGTTTTGTAGGGCCCTGACACACTCCTGAGGATTCTTGTCTACTGCTTCCTCTATCACTGCCAGCACCTGACTGCTCCTATGGGGTCTCCTCTGACTTGTATGTTAATATTTTAATAGGTCTGGTTTAACATTCAACATAACAGTACACCAATGTCTGTACATTTTGACAATTCAAGAGAAAGCTCCTGGAAACAACTGCTTCCCAAAAATATTCAAATTCAGTGGATGAAATCAGAAACTGCACAGGTAAAGCACATTTTCAAAATGTACCTATGTGAGAATTGCCACCAATCCTAATATTTGTTATTGCAAATAGCATGCAATTATTTTGCATATGTGCATGATTAATTATATTCAAAAGCTGCTTTCCTCTGCCATTAAGCACATTGTTAGACTACCTTCCATCACCTCCCTCTGCCTCAGAAGGAGAGGGATATCAGGAGGGAACATTTCAACACAGCTAAATGGTATGTCTTCAGCTTAATATTAGTTCAAATAAAACATAATTAGTACAGTAAATCTATTTACAATCTATCCCACATAATTATTTTGGAAAAATGCTTTGTAAAACTTAAAACAAAATGTGATTATAAGTTGTCATTATTCTTATCTATTGGTATAAAAATCATTTAATGAATTCCAATATAACATATAATTTAAATAATCCCTTCTACTAGCTCAGAAAATTGAGAACTGACTAGAAACATTTTTCACTTGTCTCAAAAAATTTATTAGGGATTTAATTTGTATTTCTGTAGAAAAAAAATTGCATATAGCTAATTATGTCTTTTTTAAAGAGATAATAATCAAAGATCATCACATTGACATAGATTCACATAAATAGAACATAAGGAAATAAAATAAAAGACATTGAACATATGTAAATGCATAATAAAGTATTTTTGTAATAAATAGGTGAAAGGTAAGTATATTCTAGGTCTAGAGATGGAAAGCCTCCATGAAAGTGCCTAAGTCAGAGTAAATGAGGTGAGGAAAACAATTAAGCTTCAGAAAATTCATCTGAGAAGACTTCATGGGAGAGAGGAAGGAATGGCTGAATTTAGGAGTTTTCCTAATTGTGAGAAAAATATTTTGTGGAGAAAAAATATTTGGGGTCTAGGACTGCTTTAGACGAGGCTAGAAATTGAGAATAAAATGAGATGAAAAAGATTTTTGAATAGGCATGTTTATGATTTGAATAGGAATGAAAGGGTTAAAGAGATTAGGCTATGACAAAGGGGAAATGAAGTGGAGTATGGAGCTTGGATTGAACCTATAAGGAAATTGTTTTAGGGCTTTAATAATAAATTCTATTTTACAGATGTTGCAGAAGTAGGAATGCTTTATTGATAATTTACTCCCCTGAGGAAATTTGACTCCTCTAATAACAATAACTTATAACACATTATAATATGAAAATTTAGGTACTTTATTGTTTGATCTAAAGGCCATTACAAATCTTCCAGAAGAAAGTATACACAGTGTGACATTTTAAAAAAGGTTTCAGATAGAATCATTAGAATGAATTTGAATGAATTCATGTCTCCCCAATTACCACTCCTCTAAAAAAAGGTCTTGATCATTCTGATCTATCCTGTCTCCATCCCATCACTCTCATCTTTACTGCTAAACTTCTTGAAGAAGTTGTCTACTCCTGATTACTCCATTTCCTTAATAACCACTTTCTCTCCAACCCTTTGCAATATAATTAGTCCTTATCACAGTCTTGAAATTACTGTTAGTAAGGTCATGTAAGACCTCCAAGTTACAGAAAAACCTTTATTCAGTCATTCTTCTTGACTCTTCTTAACACTCTCGACCAACCCCTCCTATGGAGTATACTTCCCTTTCTTAGAATCAGAGATTCCACATACTCCTATACATGTCTAATAGTTCCCTTTCTCCCTTATGTGCTGAGTTGTCATTCTCTTCCAAACCCCTTAATGTCAGTATTCCCTAAAGGTCTATCTTTAGCCATCTCTTTTTTACTCTTTTCATGCCATATCTCCTTTGGCAGTTTCATTCACTCACATGGCTTTAGCACCATCTCTATGCAGATGACTCCCAGATCTGTAGTTCTAGTTCTGACCTCTTGTCCGAGTTCCAGACATGTATCCTTAGGTAAACAATGCCTTTAGGACACTGCCAACTGATTGTCCTGTTGTCCTCAAAGTCAGTCTGTCTATATCTGAACTTATTATCTAGCCCCTTAAACCTCTACCTCCCTTCTTAATTCATTATTTCTGTCTTTGGCATCACCATTCACTAGGAGTCCCACATTTATAGCTTTGGCATTATCTTTCACTCTTCCTTTTCCCTCTGCTCTCACACAACTGACCAGAATCATGGAATCAAGGAATATCAGAGTTGGAAGGTACTCCAGAGGCCATCTAGATCAACTCCTACACAACAAGAATCTGTTCTACAAAATGCCTGATAAGAGGTTATACAGCCTTTGCTTAAAGACTTCTAATGAAGGGGAACACATTGCACAGCATACAGATTTTTCTTATTCTGTCTTTAGATAAGGAGGTTTTTCTCCCATGGAGCTGAAATCTACATCGTTACAGCTTCTGTTCATTGATCCTGATTCTGACCTCTGGGGCCAAGCAAAATGAGTCAAATCTGTCCTCTCCATGATAGCCCTTCATGTACCTGAAGAATATTCTTATGTCCCTACTGAGTCAAAACATCCCCATTTCCTTCAGCTGATCCTCACATGGCATGAAATCCTTCACCAAATCAGTCACTCTGTTCTGGACATTCTTTAGCTTATTAATTTGTTTCCTAAAATGTAGTTCTCAGAACTATACTTAGTATTATAGATGTGGCTTTCCCAGACAAGGTGTAGAGGAAATATCTTCTCTCTCATTCTGGACTCTGTGTTGCAATTGAAAATAGCATTGTGTATTTCGAAGGGTTGTATCACTCTAAGGACTCATATTGAGCTTATAATCCACTAAAATTACCAGGTATTTTCCTCAATAACTACTGTCTAGCAACATTTCCCCCATATTGGATTTATGTTGTTAATTTTTAGATCAAATTTATTATTTGACATTTATGCCTATTCAGTTTCATCCTTTTTTAAATTTTGTGCAACAATCTAGCCTGTCAGGGTCTTTTCTCTATTCCAGTTCTGTCATCCAATATGATAGCTATTGATTCTACCTTTGTGTCTTCCATAATTTTTATAGTCATATTATCCAAGTCATTGATAAAAATGTTCACCTGCATAAGACTAAGGACAGACTCCTCCAGTGCTGCAATTGAAACTTCTATGTCATCACCAAAACATTAATAAATACTGTTTGGGTTCATGAAATTCAGCATGGGAAACTTAGGTGGTACAGTGGTTAGACCACTGGGCTTAGAATCAGGAATACTCATCTTTATGAGTTCAAATCCAGCCTCAGACTTTTACTATCTGGGTGACCTTGGGCATGTCACTTAATTTGCCTTAGTTTCCTCATCTATTTCTATCCATCTGTCCATCCATTATCATTCCTCCATTTGAGCTTGAGAAGGAAATGGCAAACTACCCCAGGATCTTTGCCAAGAAAACCCCAAATGGGCTCACAAAGAGTCGGACACAACTGAAATGACTAGGTAAACAATGTATATAGCATTTTCTTATCTATCAGTTTAACATCTCTATAAAAAAGGGGCATGATGTTTGTCCAGAATGACCTGCTTTTCATAAAGCCATGCTGGCAATTTGTGATCAGTGCTTCCTTTTTTTTTCAGATGTTCATTTATCATTTCTTTAATAAGAAATTCTAGATTTTTGCCAGGAATTGAAGTTATGCTCACTAGACTTTTTTTCATCTCTAGCCAGTCTCTTTTTTTTTCTTGAAAATCCACACATTTGCTTTTCCTTAGTCCTGTAGTATCTCTCTTATTCTCCATGATCTTTCAAATATTATTGCTAAACATCAGCTCACTCCAAATGTAGGGTGCATGTCAGACTATATCAAGCTTTCCTCTCCTCTGTCATGAATTCTAAGATGAAATAATTGCTTCTCATGATTTCTACTTTAGCAGCCAGTTCCTCCTTGTTTAGAAGAAGCAAGTCTCCAACTGCTGTTCCCTTCTTCTTTTGGAAAGATAAATTATTTTTGACAGAGCAAGAACTCTAATTGATGTCCAGATGATAAAAATTTCCCATTAGTATTATATCATGTTTCCCTGCCAGGCTTGTGATAGGTTTACCAATTTCCTGGTTCCTCCTCTTATCCGGGTTGTCTATAGTCCAGAAAAGTATAATTTCATAAGTATAGAACATAAACGTACATATAACACTACTTAAAACTCCAGGTCAGTTTTGAGTCCTGTGGTTTTAGTTAAACTCAAAGTCCAAGGTGGAATCCATGAAGTATGCCAAATGCAAACACTAGGCCACTCTAACTAAGTATTTACTCTCTTATTCTATTCCATTTCTGGCCAAATGGATAAACAATATAGAAGTTAAAGATAATCTTTTCATCTAAATTCTATGTATGGTAGGCTGTTTTGACATACCTTTGTGCCCTCCATAATTTTTATAGTCATGTACCTATATTGCCATATGTAGAATCACTTTGTTTCTGGGGTGAAACACACTTAAAATGCTTACAATATAAAGGTTATCTTGTAGTATGTTTCCTAATCTTTCCAGTTTTCTCTGTTACAGCCTAAGGAGATACTGTATTTTGATACTAACAAAAGTATGGTGGAAGATTTAAAAAACAGGTATGACCCTTTGGGAATGTTACAAACTACCATTCATTATTTTCTGGAAGTTGTTTATTAGACTTCTTTATCACACACAACTAAGTAAGAGCATTTTACAAGCCTGTGGTGATTTATGTTCTGTCCAACCATGTATTTCTTAATGTATACAGCAGTCAATTAAATTAAAATCATCAAACATTTGTTAGGTGCCTACTATGTGCAAGGCACTTATTGCTCACAATTCCAGGGATAGGGAATGACCTATATAAACATTTTGAGGCAGAAAAGGACAGGAATAGAACAATCATCGTTGTACAGTAGTTTGGCTGGAATATGGAGAATATGAGTGGAAGGAGCATGAAATAAAGCTATATAATAAGGTCATGATTTATTTCATATGTATTTATACATAAACATACCTATATATTAATATTATATAGTTATATATATGTACAAATATAGACCAAGTTAAACAAAAATACTCCTTATAGCACACCTGACATTTCTCATGAAAATCATGGGCCATTCTAAAGTCAATACTGAAGCTTTGTAACCAGGTCATAATTTTTTTAAAAATAGGTATGTACTATATATCTTACACGATTGTAAAATAACTGGGTCTTTAAAATGCTAAAGACAAAATTTTAATGATCATTTATTTCTTAATATTAATATAGACAGCAGTATATGAGCTAAAATATAAAGTTTGGGGGACCAGCAAGTAGGCAAGTTTGATTGGAACAAAGAGTTCATGACTTGGAGTGACGGGTAATTATTCTGCAAAGAATGGCTGAAACCCTATTGTGAAGGGCTAATTCATGCCAAATAGAAGAGTTTGCATTTTTGTCCTAGAGGCAATAGAGATTTACTGAAGTTTTGGGAGCTAGAGAGTGACATGATCAGAACTATAATTTAGGAAAATCCATTTGTTAGCTATGTGGAAGACAGATCAGAGAGGAGATAATTAAGACAAGATGACCAGTTTGGAGGTTATTGGAATAATAATATAGTCAAGAAATGATGAGCACCTGAACTAAGGCAATTGTGGTCTGAGTGGAAAGGAGATAAATGCAAGAGGTTTAGTGATAGAACTGACATTGACAGGATTTGAAGAAACAAGGATAACTCATAGGCTGCAAAATTGGGCAACTGATAGAAGTGAGGGTGCTTTCAATAGAAATAGAAAATTAGGAGAGTGGGGTGGATTTAGGGAGAAAGATAAAGAGTTCAGTTTGTACATTTTTGTTTTAAGATGGCTATAAAACATTCAGGTGCAGATGTACAGCAGAGATAAAGGATGGATGTCACCAATATAAATGTTGAATCCATGGAAACTGATGGTATCACTAAGGGCAAGAGTGTAATAAAAAGAAAAGAAAAAAAATGGATAAAAGAAAAGGAAAAGGAAAGTGAAGGCAAGAAAAAAAGGAAAGGAAAGAAGAGAAAGGAAAAGAAAAGAAAAGGAAAGTATGCCTGAAGGATGATGCCTGCAAAAGAGATTGTAAAGAGTCATCAGTCAGACAGATAGGAAAACTATTACAGAGAAGTGTCAGGAAAACAGGAGGAGTTGGGTTAGCAGTGATCAGTGCTGCAAAGAGCTTAAGAAGGATGAAAGCTGAGAAAATCTCATTGAATTTGGCAATAAAAAATATTATTGGTGACCATGGGCAAAGTAGTTTCATTTGAGTGGTAGGGACAGAAGCTTAGTTGCAAGCAGTTGAGAAGTGAGTAGAAAATGAGAAAGTAGAGGCAATGAGTATAAATAGCTTTTTCTAGGAGTTTGTCTGTAAAAGGAAAGAAAAATGTAGGGTGTTAGATTGAGGGGATAGAAGGTCAAGTGAAGGCCTTTTTTTTTTAAGGCTAGGAAAATTTAGGCACGTTTGCAAATTGCAGAGAAGGAATCGGTGAATAAGGAGAGGATGAAAGTTAGGGACAGAGGGTATGATTAAAGAAGTAAGCTCCCGGGGAAGATGGAATAAAATGGATAAGTAGAGGAGATGATTTTGTCAAGAAGGGCCATAGCATAATCTGATACTGGAGCAAGGGAGAAGAAAAACGGATGATGATGTTAAGGTGATTTGAAATATGAAGTTGGAGAGAAGACTCACAATGGATGTTTTCCGTTTTCCAAGAAAGAGAGAAGAGAAAGAGATGATGTGGGTGCCTTGAGAATAAAGAAGTTTTAAAACTGATTTTGTGGGGAGTCAGATAGAGAACCAGTCAGGGAAAAGTAAAAAGTTTTGGCATGTAATAGTAGTGACCTGTTGAGATTGGGCAACTAAAAATGTTAGTGGAACCATTAAGCATTGTTATATGACTCCTCCGGCACTGTTCAGCAGCGCAGCAAAAGGAAGATGGTAGGAACAAATTGGGGTTGACATTAGAAGGGGGCTAGCAGTAGTAGAGCAACAGGGCAAAGGACTGAAGAGAGAGAGTAGTATAAAGTTGAAAAGATTAATAATAAACTTTGAAAGAAAAAAAAACGGGAATAATGGCCTGAGAAAACAGAGAGAGAAGAGGGTTCTGATAAATTCAGGGAGTAGTTTTAGCAAGGTTGAGGCACAGATAGAGATGAAAAGACAGTAAATAATGATGAATTAGAGGAATTCCACAGTTATGGATTGTGGAGATAAAATTTTGTGGTTAATGATGAGATCAAGAGTATGCAGATAATGGGGGATGAGGAAGTCAACCAACTGGGATTTGTGGAGATATCAGTATATAAATTTAAGTACCCAAGTATAAGGACAGAGGATTGTGGTTAAAAAGAAGACTAAGCCAAATACTGAAATCATTTAAATAGAAGAAAATGCCTTGGTGGGATGGGGAGGTGGGAAGAAGGAGCATATATGATATCACCAGACCTGGATAGGGTCTAGGAGAGGTTGCTCAGGGATGATAGTATAGAACTGATCTAGAAGTGCCAATGTAGAGCAAGAAGTAGGGGGAAAGGAGAAGAGGAGGAGATGAGAGCAGGCATGTCTACACTGGAGAGCAGGGCTGGGGAAGCAGTGTATTCCAGGGGAAGCAGGGTTTTCATGATTGAAACAAGATGTATGAAGGAAGTATGAAAGGAAGACAAGAAATATGAAAATAAGAGTAATGAAAGGAAGAACCCTAATATGAAAGGCATTTTTTTTAAACAATGTTATGGAGGATACAGTGATAGGATAGGGAAGAATTGGGATCAGGACATGGGTTGTGTTAACTTGTATAAGGGAGAGCCCCAAATCCCTTCAGGATTAAACTATGGCTGTATTTGCATATGAAATGCCAGGGATATGGCTAGGCAGATAGTAGAGACTATAACCAACACTTCATTGGTCTCTGCTTTCCCAGGCCCTCATCTCTGCTTTGGCTCCACTTTCCTCCTTTCAGAGTCTGTTATTAATAATCATTTCAGTTTTACATTGTCTTCTACCCATGAATCCTTGGCCCCATTGTCCTGTTATTGTTAATCCTTTTCCAAACTCCAACCCTGGATTATTCCTGTTTTCTCCACTCTTGTTTCTGTGCTGCTAAACAATGCTAGAGGAAATCCTACAGCAATTCTGATTAGTTCCACTACTAATGGGTTCTCTCTCTAACCACGTTTTCTAGGATATACTGTTTGGGGTCCCATTTCAGACTTCTGTCTCCTGCTAGAAACCAAATATAGAAAGTTCTCTTCCTTCCCACAACAGCAAGAGATAATAGAGAGAGACCAAATTGGAAAAATCAATCTTTCCAAGCTTATTACACATCCCTGTCCTTTGCTTATTGGCTGCATCGAGCCAAACTGGCCTGCCTGCTCTTCATCATATGTGGCATTCTATCACCCACCTCCATATGCATGTCACAGGCTCTTCTCCAGGCCTGGAATGTGGTCCCTCTTCACCTCCACCTTGTTGGCCACTAAGCTTCCTTCCTCAACAAAGCCCTTTCTGGGTCTCGCTTGCTAGAACTTATATATATATATAAAATATGTGTATATGTACATAATACACACATATACATGTATACACACACATATACATATAAAGTACTTTCAAAGTGCAAAATATAAGTGTGTATATTTACATATATAAACATACATATGCATACATATGTAGACAATATAGATGTAAGCATCTATCTATTCATATACATATATACTTATCTGCGTACATGTTGCCTTTGCTCAATAAAGTAAAAGTCCTTTAGAGAGAGGTATTGTTTGGTTTTTGTTTTTCTACCATCACCATTTGGTATGGTTATTCTAGGCACTTAACAAATGCTTGCCAAATTAATGAATGATGAATGGCTGAAAACTCAAATGCTACTTTTAAATTTTTTGTGTAAAAATTTTAGAAGCACTTAGTCATTGTTTTAATCATTCAGAGGCTATTTCCTGTCCTTGCTATTATTACTTTATCAGCCCTTTACAAATATGGCAATGCCTTTTCACATTCAGGCAGCATGCAGGGAACCTTTTTCTTGTTATACTTTGCCAAAAATACTAATATGAACTGCTATTTAGGATTTCATATAAGGGATAGCTGATGACAAGTAAACAGTAGGATGTGGCATAAGCAATTTATTTGTGATTAGCACATAAATATTTAAATAAGTTTTTATTGATGTATTTTGTTATATGGTGATGTATTTTATTTTACACCACCAAATCTCGCCCTGCTCTTCTCTCCTCCCCTAAGCCATCCCAAATAACAAATAATATTTTAAAGACAAAAAAAGAGGGATAAAACAGCAGAACAGCTCAATACATCAAAAAAGTCAGAGAATATGTGCAATGTGCCACACTTGTAGACCTCTCTCTTCTGCAGAGGGGCAGGGTGGGAATGTCTTCTCCTTTCTCTCCTTTCAAGCCATGCTTATTCTCGATAGTTTTGCGACATTCACTTTTGATTTTTTTTTTTGTGGTTCTTTCTGTGTACAGTGTTGCAGTTGTTGCTAAATGAATGCTTATCAAGTTTGTTGTGAGCATTCATTTCTAGTATGAATTGAACTAGGTAGTCTTTGAGGTCCCTTCTAACTGAATTCTGTGATTCTGTGATCTCTCTGCCTCCAGTCTCTCCTCTTTCCAATCTACGCTTCACACAGTGGCCATCATATCTTCTATTGCAAAGGTCTGACTATGTCACTCCCCAGCTCAAAAACCTTTGATGGTTTTCCATTGCCAATAAAATAAATTATAAAGACCTTCAATTGTCATTTCAGCTTCTACTGTCTGACTCCAGCCTCCTGCACCTTTCAGTCTTATGCTGTATTCCAACCAAACTGCCCAATAAATTCCCAATCTAATCCTGACTTTTCCCACCTCTCTGAATTCACATAGGTGAATTTCCCTTACCTGGGATGCCCTTCTTCCCTATCTCCACTCCTCCCCTTTCAGTTTCCAACTCAGGTGGCAAGCTCTCTGGCGAGCTTTCCCTGATCCTCTCAGTTGAAAGTTATTTCTTCCTCCTCACATTTTATTTCAGAATTTTGTTTCTAATTGTCTGTTTTTCCCTTATCATATTCTACTTTACTTGTTTACATGTTTTATTCCTGTTACCATAAACATTGAGGGGAAGGATTGGTTGTCTTCTAATTCTAAATATGTAATACTGTGATACTATAACTCTGACATATTTCTTTTTTTTATCTCAATCCTAACATAGTTCCTTACACATGGTAGGTACTTAGTAATATTTATTGAATTCAATTCAGTTGAATAAAGGAAGTAAAGTAGATGTAAATGTGAGATCTAGATGGTGCTATGGATAGAGCACTGGGCCTAGAACTGACAGTTCAAATCCAGCCTCAGACACTAGCTGTGTGACCCTAGGCAAGTCACTTAACCCTGTTTGCCTCAGTTTCCTAATCTGCAAAATCAGCTGGAGAAGGAAATGGCAAACCACTCCAGTATTTTTGCCAAGAAATACTCCAAATGGGGTCATGAAGAGTCAGACACAACTGAGCAACAAAAATGGAGAGCATTATTTCTTCCATTCTATCTCTATGCTTCTACCCTTTATCTTTCTTTTCTGCTTATCTGCTTCTTTTAACTCACCATAATATAGGGTTTTATTATTATACAATAAATAATTATAATAAAACTGAAAAGTTTTATTATTATCATCATTATTAGGGTTTTTATAAGTTTCTTCTTGATTTAATAGTTAAGCAAAATAAGTACTTCATATTACTCTTAAGAAAACAAATTGATTTTTTAAGCTTATATTTGATCTTCAATTTTTAAAAAATCTTTTGGGTTTGATAACCAGCTAAATACAAAGTTGCCCTGCCCCCACCCCGGGCATCCTTAGACACATAAAACATAGAACAAACCTAACAGCTGTTGTGCTGGACTCATGTGACCCTCAGGCTGGATGGCTGATCCCAGCGAGATTAAGTGCATCTGGCAAAAGGAGAGAGAATGCTTCAGCAGTTGTTCTAGGCTATATGGTTGCTGGTAGATGGTCACAGAAGTCAGGCCTGAATTCAGAACATTTTAAAAATAAGTTTTATTGATACTTTTTTTTTTACCTAATTCAGAATATCATGTACAGACATGAGCCTAATTCTCCCCACTATGGCTACTATGAAAAAGGGGGGAGATGACTCAGAAAATAAGGAAGATGCCTGTACCCTCCTGAGGTCTAATGCTAGAACCAATGTTCGTTATTTCATGATAAAAATCATAATATGTATCAATTATAGTTTTGTAGTAGTGAGTCATAAAGTCTAGGGGAGAGATTATCTGTCCAAATATCTAATTTTTCTGGTGAGAAAAATGAAGCCCACAAAATGGCTTGCCCAAGATCATATCATTATTAAGGTAACCCAGAACTCAAACTGAGGCCATCTAAATCCAAATTCGGTACCCCTTCCTAGCGTAATGCTCATAATAACCAATCTTTCTACCTTCGACTCAGGATCGAAAGAACCTTAAAATGTAAATTGATGGAATGGAGACCCAAGCAGCCTACTCGTTGGAATCGACAATGCACTGCTATTTTGAGGCAAATTCTTCCTAAATTAGAACTTGGAACTGGGAGTCTTGTTTCCATTGAAGATGAAAGTGAATTTGAAAGACTACTACAATTTTATTGGGTAAGTATAGGCTTACATGCATTTGTAAAATTAATTTTATTTACTCTGTTAGTTACTAAATGGAATTCTAAATAATCCTGAAAAGATTGTTAATATGGCTTAGGCAGCCAGGTGCCCCAATGCATCAAAAGTCATGCAAATACTGAGATTTTGTTGTTTTTCAGTCATTTTTAGTGGTATCCAACTCTTTATGTCCCAATTTGGGGGGGGGTTGTTTTTGTTTTTGGCTAGGCAATGGGGTTAAGTGACTTGCTCAGGGTCACACAGCTAGTGTTATGTGTCTGAGGCCAGATTTGAACTCAGGTCCTCCTGAATCCAGGGCTGGTGCTCTATCCACTGCACCACCTAGCTGCCCCCCCATTTGGGGTTTTCTTAGCAAAGATACTGGAGTGGTTTGCCATTTACTCTCCAGTTCATTTTACAGATGAGGAAACTGAGTGACTTTCCCAGGGTCACACAGCTAGTAAGAGTCTGAGGCCAGATTTGAATTCAGGAAGATGATTCTTCCAGATCCGGCACTCTTTCCACTGTACTGAGGTAATCCATTCCAAATGTAATGTGACACTTCATAGAAGGAACACTTCGAGGAGCCTCTCTTTGAAACTGTTTATTGAAATATTTGAAATATACGAACTATAAATTCTCAAACAAGGAGCCTCTCCCCAAGGACAGGGCCCGGAAGTAAAGTGTTCTGTAAGACCAGGGGCTAAAAAAGTTCAGGAATAGAGTGGGCTTCTCACCTCTTTGATAAGGATCTAGCAAAACTGGTCACTTGAGTATGTGGAACCTTGTTGGACTAGGCAATCTTAGCCCTTGTCAGTCTAGTTGGAGGGGAGTGTTCAGCATAGGATAGTATTCATAGGAACTACTAAAACATGTGCCCAGTGAATGGAGAGGATTTTCTGTGGAGAAAAAATATCCACAAGTTATTCTACAGACAGCAAAATATCAGAAAAAGGCATATTTAACTTTTGTTAAATGCAAAATAAACAGATCTCTGAACCTCCCCCCCCCACCAATTACAATTTAGGGACTCCTTGGGTAGCATTTACACCAATGGGAAAAGAAAAAGGAGGCAGCTGGCAGGTAGTGTCTTCTTTGCCTTGACTCTACCCTATTTTTAATAGTTCTTTTTTCCCTTCAAAACATTTACTGGCTGAGACTTCCTCATGCCCACTTGTCCTTATGAGTGTCACACATGTTCAGATTCCTTAAGAGTCTGGCCTATATGGCTAATCTTTAATAAATCTTGTCTTTGACTAAAAAAAAATTCCTACATTTTATGAGTAATTTTCAATGTGTATTAATTCTGTTGTCATTATTTATTATTTATTTATTAGCCAGGCTTGCCATTTTATCAATGTAGGAAAATCAAAGAACTTTCCCATTTGATGCTTATGGGTATTGTTGTTTAGTCTTTTCAGTTGTATCTGACTCTTTGTGAGCCTATTTGAAGTTTTCTTGGCAAAGATAATCAAATCATTTGCCATTTCCTTCTCCAGGTCATTTTACAGATGAGGAAACCAAGGCAAACAGGTTAAGTGACTTGCTCAGGGTCACATAGCTAGTAAGTGTCTGAGGCTGGATTTGAACTCAGAAGGATGAGACTTCCTGACTCCAGATCCAGCCCTCTATCCACTGCACCACCTAGTTTCCCCTATGGGGTACTTTATGGGTATCTCCTCTGCAATTTATAGTCTGAGAGAGTTGTCTGGACACTGGGTGTTTAAGTGACTAGTATTAGCTTTCGGAGCCAGTGTATGCCAGCCATGGGACTTGACCTAGGTCTTCCTCACTCTGAAGCCAGCTGTATTCACAACACCACATATTATAGTGGAAATAGTGCTGGATTTGTAGTCAGTAGAATCCTGGGTTCGTATCCTAGTTTTACACTTCCTTAGCTATATGAACATGCACAAGTCATGTAACTTGTCTGGGCCATAATTTCCTCATCTGTAAAACGTAGTAATGTCTCTGTCATCTAATCCATAGGTTACTGTGAGTTTACATGTATAAAATTCTGTGTACAACATAAAGCACTGTGTAAATGTCATCTATTATACTATTCCCATGCTCACTTCCCAGCTGTCTATTCAACATGGCCCTCTTCTCCCACCATTTTCACCCCACCAGAAATTTAAGACTCAACTCTCTGGATGTCTTCATTGTGATAGAGGAGCTTTCGCCTTATCTTGCCTAGCCCTGGGCCTCCACAGTACACCCTTGCCTTCTCCTTACCATGCCCCACAAGGGTACCCTCTCCTGAACCTTCAGATTCCTGTGCCTCCATTTTCTAGCACCCATTAGAATATTTTCTTTATCTATTAAAATATAAGTTCCTTGAGGGCAGGAATTGCCTTACTTGTATTTGTAAACTAGGAACTTAATACAGTGCCTGGATAGTAGGCATTCAATAAATGCTCTCTCTCTCTCTCTTTTCCTCTATCTATCTATCTATGTCCATCTGTCTATCTGTGTATTATCTCAGCTGATCTCTTTAGTTCCAATTAGTGCCTGGGAACCTACACTTTTGATAGGCTGCTTAGACAAGATCTATGACTCAAGTTCATAGACAATACAACTATATTTGCTATCTGTCTGATGAAATTCTAATAGGTCATTTATAATTATTATACCTGAAGTAAGTAGCATATGGAATTACATATAGTGCTGGCAAATTAATGACTTTTTCAAGTTGCCTCATCCTAAACTCCTCCCAAAGCACTAAATATTTCAGTGCATTATTTTATTTCTTTGAGTCAATAATGAAAATGATCAGGGAATTGATTAGATAGAAAATTATTAGGGGTGGTTAGTGAATATCTAGAAACTGAAATGGTGATCATAAAGAGCCAGTAAGTATGTCCTCATGAAGAATAGGTCATGCCAGAATAACTTCATTGCCCTCTTTTCACAGGGTTACTGGAATGGTAAATCAGGGGAATGCTGTAAAAGAGTTTACCTACATTTTAGCCATCGTTTGGCAAAGTTTCTCATGCTTTTTTTGTAGGAAAGATGGAGAGATTTAGGCTAAACAATAGTACAATGACATGCATTTGGAACTGGTTAAATGGCTAGACCTAATGAATAGTTATTCTTAATGTAGGAAGTCTCCAGTGGAGCTCCCCAGGGATCTGGACTTGGCCCTATGTTCACATTTTATTTGTCAGTGACTTCTGTAAAAGGATGGCTAGCATTCTTATCAGATTCTGAGGCAGCATGATGACAATCCAGAATGAGAGGCTGGATGAGATAGCCTTGAGCTCCCTTCCAGCTCCCGGTCCATGACCCTATGATCTTGAAGGGTCAAAGCTGAGCTTCTTCATTTTTTCTATGTTGTGGATCCCTTTGGTAGTCTGTGGACTCCTTTCTTAGAATGATGTATTTAAACACACAAAATAAAATATGTAAGATTAAAAAGGAGTCCAATTATGCTGAAATACAGTTATCCAAAAACAATTTATTTTTAAATTCACAGACCCCAGGGCTAGAGCACTGGGCTGAATCTAATAAAATACCATTTAATAGAATTGATTCTAAAGTCTTCCATTTGGGTTTTAAAAAAAAAAACACCTTCACAAAGACAAATGGAGAAGGATATGGCTAGACAGCAATTTGTCTGGAAAAGATCAGGCAATTTTAGTGGCCTGGTCAGAGCACATCTGGAATGTTATGTGCAATTCTGGGGGCTGCATTTTAGGAAGGAGATGGATAAGTAGGGAACATCCTGAGGACGGCAGCTAGAATGGTGAAAGGTCTCAAATTCATGCCAGGTAAGGATCAGTTGAAGAATACTTAACCTGAAAAAGAGAAGATATAGATAGATAAATGTGTTGAACACTTGATAGATGTGTTCAAGTATTTGATAGGCTGTCACATGAAAGAGAGAGAATTGTTCTGTTTTGTGCCCAAGGAAAGAGCTAGGAGCCATTAGTAGAAGTGGTGAAGAGTGAACTCAAAGAGAACTTTCTAACCATTAGAGCTATCTAAAAATGGAATGGGCTATTTGGGGGCATAACAAGTTCCCCCTCCCCCCAAGAAAAGGTTGGAAAATAACTCATCAAGATACATGGGTTGTTGGACTGAGTGTCATTAAGATACCTTTCAACTGAACTCTGAGGTTCTGTAATTCTGTGAAATGTAGCACCTGATTTTTTGTATAGTATTTCCAAATTGTTTTCATGGTTGTTATTTTTTTCAGGTTTCAGGATTTCCTATCCAGCTGCCATATACTGATTTACAGTCAATAACCAATGCTGTGTATCAAACTGGTATTCATTCTTCTGAATTTCCCCAGACAGAATTTGCCTTAGCTGTTTACATTCATGCATATCCAAATAACATATTATCTATTTGGATCTATTTGGCTTCCTTGGTTCGTCATCAATGAAAAGAAGCAAATGAAACCAGTGTCTAAAATGTTAAATTCTTGCATGGTATCTAAAAGGCAACTTCCTGGATTCCCCATAGGAAGAAAAAGAAGCTTCCCTGTTCTGAGTTTTGATGCTCTAGGAGCCGTGCTTGTCTTCAAATCAGGGAACGTATTTATAGCCCAGTCAGTGACTCCCCCAAGAAGTCTTGCACTCTGGTAATTCACACTGTGTTCTTTGAGGAAGAGTACAGGGACACCCTGGAGTACCCGTTGGAGTTGCTGAAAAGTCCCTGAGGGGGTGGGGGAAACAGTCCCAAAGGCAGTAAAAACTCTGCTTGAAAGTCAGCAGTTATAATTCTAGTAAAGAGGTAACTTTGAACTATTCTCATATAGGGAAGCCTTCACATTGCTGATATGAGGTTGGTGTTGGGGCCACTGGCTTACTGCCCTGCCAGCTGGAAGATGCTCTGATGGGATGAAGGCCCAAGGGAACAAGGATAATTTACTTAGAAACATAGAAATACAGCAGGATTAAATACTCACAATTTATCTTTCCAATACAAATGTTCAAATACCTGTTCAGACTGTGGCAGGAGTCTCCCTTTGGGAGTTTTTAAAGAGCAGGAAGTGTCAATACCCAGGAAGAAGTCCCATAAACTCTGACCTGTTCTCAAGGTTCAGTGGGGATGAAGGAGATGTAAGTCTTTAAATCTCAAGCCTACCTTCTTCAGTGGGAGGGTTCCTTCATGTTTACTCCATCAAAATTCCACCCTTTTCATCTCCGGTGATTACACTGGGGAAGCCTGTCTAGTGGGACAGGAAAGTGTGAAAGGAGTATGGCCAGAGGTTTATGAAGTATGCCATCATATGTATGTCCTTGAATTTCACATGCTACAGAAGAACACCACTATTTTCTGAAATGTTACTTAGTGACTTATTAGAATAAGTGTTTTGTTGTTGTTATTGTTTGTTGTTGTTGTTGTTAAGGGCCCAGTAGAATGGACTCTTAGACATAAATCCAGAGCAGGAAGCTCTGATCAACTTTACACAACAGGGGGACAGGAGAAATCTCTCATTCATTGGGTCTCAGCAGGCCACAAACACAACAAGCAGAGAGGGGCACACTTCATATGTTCCCCTGGAATCTTCTGGAGGGAATTTACCAAACTATGAATGTGTGCCTCTTAGAAGTGCACTATCTCAAGATTCTGTGAATTGAGTCTTGGGGCAGGCTTGAGCCCATGCTAGGTGTGTGGAGAGGGGGAAAAGTGTTTTATTTCCACTATGAAATTGGAAAATGTGTTTACTGAAACACAGAGAACTGGTTAGAATTTTTATATATGTCTAGAACCACTGTGTTTGTATTAACATCCCTATATCATTTCTTAATGAAGTAATTTTTCCTCTTTGATAGAGATAATACAAAATGATGCCTATAGCAAGATTATATTGGTGAAGAGAGTTGGAGACCCCATTAATGCAGTTTGTTGCTGCTGATGTATAAACATGTTTGCAACTAAATTGAATTATTAAAATCTCTTAAGAATTAAAAGACAACTTAAAGTATATTGGTAACATTACACTAGAAGTGTTTATAAGATTCTTGGTTTAGTTTTTACATTTTCTATTTAAAGTAAATTGCAATTTTCAGTGGCAAAATTTATTTTTATTTATTTAATTTTTGAATGCTAAAAGTATATTACTTCATAAAAGACAATATATGCATAATTTAAGATGTGAACCATAGAAAAATATTTGAGAAATATCAAAATGAGTAAATCAGAATCGTTGGGTTTTCATTAAAAAAAACATTTAAATGTGTGTCTAATCAATGCTTCTTTACTAGTAGCATATGGTCTCTTATACTTCAAAAGTCTTGATGAGACTGAGGAATCACAGAACATTAAAGCTGTAAAGATTCTTAGAGGTCATCTAATCTAATCCCTTCATTTTACATAGGAGAAAACACAATAAGAGAATGCCAACGAGGGTGCAGCATAGCAAGGAGTCTGTGTGCCCTGAAACTAATCAACTAGCTATTGAAGGCCTGATGAGAACTCTGAAGTTCTAGCCAAGTGGGCTTTGAAAGTTCTACTATTTGGGTTAAGAGCATGGTGACGCTTGTGTTATAAATCTAAGAAATATGGAGTGGCATAGGATTGTAGGCTTATCCTCCTGGAAACCAATGTGATGATCAGTGTAACATGGAAGACAGCAGGGTGTCTCTCCTTTCTGTTCTGGTACCAGAAGAAGCCAAAACAGATTAAAATAAATAAAAAAAAATACCAAAACCACACCTGCTAGAAATGTTTCAGTACAGACCACTAAAGTAGGCAAACTGTGAATGTTCATAAATGGACTGAGGATATGAATACTTGCATTATGTAGCAGTATATCCTAACAAAATGGAAAACAAATATCACTAGTTATAGGCAATATTTTTTAATGGTACCTTAAGCCCTAAGTTATACAACATATTGCCAACTACAGAGAGCAAGCATTAAACACACACACCCCTTTCATTTCTAAACCTAGATTAGGCAAAATAACAGATGAAATCAAGGAGCCACTAAAAATATAAAGAGGAAAGAGTTGAAGATCCTGAGGTAACTAAAAATCTCCAGATTTTCAAACTCCAGAAATTATACTTAATAAAGAAATTAATAGCATCACTAATATCTCAAAGGATTTTCAGAAAAAGATGGGCATATTTAACTTGAAATTTAGCAGCATGAATCCAAGTAGTGGACCAATGATACCAAATCAGAATAAGAATAAAATCGCATATTGGCTATAAATTTCATGAATGAACACATTCCCCAATAGTATTTGGTAGAAAGTATAACATTTTAGGACCTGTACACAGAATGATATTATCAAAGAATACTCTTAAGGACAGATGTGAAACACCATCATGGCAGAAGCTACTTGAAAGAGCTATTGACAAGTTGTGGGGGGCAGCTAGGTGGTCCAGTGGATAGAGTGCCAGCCCTGGAATTAGGAGGACCTGAGTTCAAATCGGTCTCAGACATTCGACACTCACTAGCTGTGTGACCCTGTGTAACCCCATTGCCTAGCAAAGAAAAAGAAAATTTGTGGGAAAGCATTGGAATACTACATCAAGATCTGGCTGGTGCATGAAGTAGAAAACTTAAACAAGGAGATGAATTATGACACTACTATAATACTACAGGTAAGAGGTATTATGAGCCTAAACTAAGGTAGTATATGTAAAAAAAGGAACAGAGGTGAGTGACATGAAAGAATCAAGATATTAAGGGCGTGAGAGAGAGGAAAGAGTCAAAGATGACTCAGAGGTTGTAAAGCTCTTGAAGGATACTGCTGACCACGGAAATAGAGAACTTTCACAACTACAGATAGGGGGAAAATTCTTAACCAAAAATAGGATAGATAAAACATTTTTGTTACATGAAATTGAAATACTTTTTCACTAATAAAGTCAACAACTCAGATTAAAAGAAAAACGATATATTAGAAATAAATTTTTGTGTCAAACATCTCTGAAGAGGCAACTAACAGACCAAGAGCAATTTGCCAATAGAAAATTAATCCAGCCACTTTCTGAGCTTCATTTTTCTCAACATCAAAAGATGTGAATAAACAGTTCTCAAAAGAACTGCACAGTATTAACAACCATATGAAAGATTACTCCAAATTAAGAGAAATGCAAATCAAACCATTCTGAGGACATAGTTTCTGGTTTTGGTGACAAGGCTGCTGGACAGAAGATGGCCAAAGATGTAAAATAATGACCAAAAGAATACCTCACATCCAGTAAATTGTTAAAAGGAACAAAGATGGTAACAAAGATGGGCATAGTCAAAGTTGGAGGGGTTGTGAGAAAACAGACATACTAATATTATTGGTGGAGCTCTGAATTGGTCTAGCCATTCTGGAAAGAGATTTGGAATCACACAGTTTGTGAAAAGACTAAAATGTTCATACCCACTGACCAGAGATGGTATTTCAAGGTATATTCACCAAGGCAGCCAGGGATAAAAAGAAAGGTCATATATACACCAAAATATTTATAGCTGCACTTATAGTACTAACAAAAAACTGGAAACCAAATAGATGCCAATCCACTGGGGAATGGCAAAAGAAATTGTGGCACATGAATAATATTACTACACTGTAAAAAATGACAAATTTGGTCAATAAAGAGAAACATGGGGAGAGTTAAATGAACTTAATGCAAAGTGAAATAAGCTAAATCAGGGAGAAAATATACACTAAAACTATAATATGAATGGATAGAACAAGAAATTAAAAATGAATAAAGGAATGAACGAAAAAACATTAAGTACTATGTGGCAAGCAATGTGCTGTTCTGGAGATATAAAAATGAAGGTGAAGACATTAGCTTTCAAGGAGCCTATATGTTAATAGGGAGAGACAACACATATAGGAGAGTGGTGATGGTGGTGGTGATTTTGGTTTGTACAGTTACTAAGTGGATGAGTGGAGCAATAGGAGAATAGACTGGTAGACTCTAATAACGGCATTATTGATTTGATTATGGTTCCAAATTGCAAAGATGGGTGGGAGAAGGGCAAGGCAATTAACCAGCTCTCAGAAAGATATCTGGAGAGTATAGTAAAGTATGTTGGGAACACATCTGAAATATAAGCTCTGAGAGCAGGCTGTCACACATCAGTGAAACCAGTGGGACCCCAGAGCAGAAGTTGTAGAGATGAAAGGGTTAAGTCTTCTCAGCGCATGATTTCTTGTCCTGGTGACAAGGCTGATGGTGAGAAGATGGTCAATGAAGATGCAAAATTATAATGGCCTTAAAAGAAGAGATATGTGAATGCACGTTCCTTCTTTGCAGAGGTAAAGAATGAAGGCTATAGAACACTGCATTTAATGTTGGATTTGATCAATGTGTTTAGTTTTTCTGATTTTTTTTTTCATTTTATTCTTTGTAATAGGGGGTGGCTCTCTGGGAGGAGGGGGGAGGGATGTAGTGAAAAATTTAGGTGATTTAAAAACAAAAGATATATTTTGAAAGCTATAGGGAAGTTTAGAAGAGGGATGGGAAGGAGGAAGGGATAAGAAGGCAAGAGAATAAGCATTTATTAAATGTCTATTTATGTGCCAAGCACTATACTAAGCACTTTACAAATATTTCATTATCAATGATATTTCTCACAACCATAGGTGCTAGCTATTATAATTCCTACTTTATAGTTAAGGAAACTGAGGCAAACAGATGAAGCAATTTGCCCAGGATCACACCGCTAGTAAGTTAAGCTAGATTTGAACTTAGGTTTTCTTGATTCCAGGCCAAGCACTTTGTTCACTGTTTTGAATATGCTGAATTCCATATAGCAATGGGTTATCATTTAACAATGCCCAACAGGTAGTTGGTGATGTGGGGCGAGAGTTCAGAAGGATGATTCATACTGGATATATACATTTGGGTGCTACATGTGTAGAGATGATACTTGCACCCAGTGGAGTGTATGAGATTACTAATGGAAAGCATACAGAAAAGGAGAGAGAGATGACACTTGAACCCACTGGAGCATATGAAATCACCTGTGAAAAGAATATACAGAGACAAGAAGCCTAAGGGGATGAGAACTGGAGGCTGAGAGTAGTAAAGGAGACAAAAGGAACCAGTCAAACCAGGAGAAGAAACAGTGGAAGCCTTAGGATGCAAAGCATGCCTAAGAAAGGGAGGTGGCCAACAGTGCCAAAAGCTGTAGAGAGGAGAAGAACTCAAAATAAAACAAAGACTAAAACACAGTTTAGGAGTTGAGAGACCATTGGTAATCTTGAAGAGAATAGTTACAGGTGAGGGGTGGCGTCAGGATCTAAATTGAATGGGGCTGGAGCCGGGTCACGCTAGCTCTTCCAAGAAACCAATTGTTAAATTTTTTGTATGAGCATTTATACTTTGGAAAGTGAGAAATACTAAAAAATTATGGCTTATTTTGTTGATTTCTAGACAAGAAATATACAGCATATGTCAGTAATGCAGATTAAACTTACAAGGGTGCACTTTTTTTCGGAGAGTCATATAGCAACAAACTCCTGGTGGAAGGTATGAAATTGGTAGCAATGATTATAGTGATTTTTTTTTATAGGATTTTGCCCCACAAAAGAAGATATATTGTCCCTTGATGAGATGACAAGGTCAAGTCTTTTTTTTTTATTGTAACAGGTGTAACCAAGAAATTGTAACAATTTGGATCCTGTTTCACCAAGAAAGACATTCTTTTATGCATTCATTCATTCATTCATTCATTCAACAAACATTAAGCACCTCTTATGTGCAAGGTACGCATTAGGTGCTAGGGATACCAAAACACAGGCAAAACACCTCCCTCAGAGAACTTACATTCTCCCTGGGATGGGGGAGATGGAGGTAGAGAACAGAATGCACACATAAATGAATACATTGATAAAGTACAAACTAATTGGGGTGGGGGGGAAGACTAACAACTAGGGGATCAGAATTGCTAGTTATAGCTCTGATACATGCTCACCCTTGATGATATTTGTCCCTTTTGAAATCATATTCTGCCCAAAGCACTGGAGAAAAGATGCTTGTGTTAACAGTAAAGCTATCCATCTGCTATTATTAAAAAATACAATAATTTCAGCATCTCTATTTTTTCTCTCCCATCATATCTGAAGAGTTGGGGTGAGGATGGGTAAGAAAATAGTGTGAAATGGAATACAAGGTAAGATTTTATATGCTCTCACAGTTGTTTATTCACTCACTATTGGCAGATGTATATACACTCTCAAAAATGTAAAAATTACTGAGAAGTCATCTAATGCATATGCCTCCTACCCCCCCCAAACACCTGTGCACAAGTTCAGCTCAGGAGCAAACTCCTTTGCAAAGCCTTTCCTGATCCCAGTAATGGTTAGTATCCTCTTCCTCTGACAATTACCTTGCATTTATTTGGGGCATTATCTTGTAACCCCTGGTAAAATATAGTTTACTTTCCAGTGAAGACTTTTGTTTTTATCATTGTATTCTCAGTAGCACAATGCTTTGCACATAAGTAGGGACTAAATTAGTGTTTGTTGAATTGAAATTCTATTTCATTCTGAATGGTTATTATATTTTGGGTAAATCGATACAAAATTCTCAAACTTCTAATATTGCTAGGGAAAAAAACCTACGAGTACAGACACGTCATCATTTGCCATTAATATCAAAAAGAATTTCCCTAGTTGTGTTTAGTGTTTTGCCAGGGGTTAAACAAAGGCAAATGCATAGACTTGTTTCCCAGTGACCAGCCCTAACCCTTTTTATCCAGAAGTTAGTCTAAAATGCACTAGGGGAGACATCCACACAGAATATACAGATAGTACAGGAGAAATTTACCCAGAAGTGCATGTACTGAAGTATTTGCATCATGTAAAGGTGCAATGAATAACTTTTATCAGCCTTTGTCTCTCTCACATACAATTTATGTATCCAAATGAGTGTTATCCTTCAAAATAGTTTCCTTGGGGAACTAAACACTTATTCCAATGGTGTTACTACTAGCAAAAACATTTCCAGGATTCATTTTGGGGAAATGTTTTTATAGAGTTTACGAGTTACATGGGACGGCTTGCCAACTTAAAGTCACATCTTATCTGTGACCAAAAATGATATCACTCAACCTGATCACTCAGTTTACTTACCACAGTTCGCCCAAATAACTCTGGGTTATTTTCAGAACTTGGAACTATCATCAAAGGATGATAATTTGCCACCAAGGAGATCCAGGAGAGTGCAGTGTAGTGAAATGGAAAGCGCCCTGTGTTCAGTTACAGGATCTAGATTCAATCCCCAGCTTTTCTGTTTACCATTTCTGTGACCTTGAAAAAATCATTTTGCCTCTCTTAGTGTGCTCATCTGTAAAAGGAGGACCTTTAAGGCCTAGTCCTAAATCCTTGGTTCTAACAATATGTCATAGGCAGCAATTCCCAGAGGTGTTCTAAAAATACTTTGAGCCATGGAAGAATCATTAGAAATGAGGACTTTTTATCACCCTCCTTAACACTACCTCATACTGCCTCATTTCTGCTGATGGCACTACCATCTTCTCAAACATCCATGTTTAAAACACAAAGCAGAGTTATCCAACCCCCATCACACTAGATATCAAGTTCTGTCAATTCTGCCTCCTCCCCACTTCTTCCTGTCTCATTGTGGCTCAGGCTCTCATTATCACTTGCTTGGGCAATTGCAGGAGCCTCAGTTTTAACTGATGTTACCGATTTCAGTCTCTTCCCTCCCTAATCTACCAAAATTATTTTCCTAAGGCTGGCCATGTCTCTCAAAATATGTCCAAGATGAAATACAAACTCGCAGGCTGGAATTTAAGGCTCCTATGATCTGGCTCCAACCTACCTTTCCAGCTTTATTTCTCATTACTCCCCTTCAGGCTCCTTAACGTGTTGGTCAAATAACTCAAGAGGACCTCTCCTGCTTCGTTTCATTCGTCCAGGCTGTCTTCTCTCATGGCTAGGATGCACCCCTTTATCTCTAAGGTCAGTGGCCTTGGGGTTAGGAGATACATCAGTTTGAATCCCATCTCTGACACTAGTATGGCCATGGGCAAGTCACTTAATTTGAGTTTCCTCACCTGTAAAATGGGTATAATACCTGTACTACTTACCTAGAAGAGCTGCCTTGAAGAATCAAATATAAGTTCCTTTAGAAACCATAAAACCATGTTTAGAATGACTTCACACGATGCCTAACTGATACCAAATTGCTTGCCTCCTTAATGAGTGGGACAGGAGCTATAGGAAGGCAGAGAATTTGGAACTTATAACAAAATTTTTTAAAGAAAACCATAAAACGCTTGTCAGATTTTTATTACTGTTGTTTCTGCTTCTTACAATCCTTTGATAAGGTTCAGCTTGGTAACATCTCCCTGAGGTAGCTTTCCTTGATCCTGCCAGCTAAAAAAAGTCCTCTTCCTCCTCAGTCCTAGATCTCTGCTTTGCTCTCAACTGTTTCAGCTTCCTACCATAGTTATCTATATATCTAAAATGGTTTTCTTCTTGTCTCCGGCACAGTGCCTTGCTTGCAGTTGGTATATGTTATTTTTTTCTTTATGTTTCTTTATATGTTCATTTATAACATTAGATGCTCAACAAGTTTGTTGAATTGAATTGATTACGTGTACATACAGCCTCCTTTTATAAGGTGACTACTTAGAAGGGAACATTTATCTGGATTTTTCCCATGTGTTTAACATCACTCGTTATTTTATATTTTTATTCATATAAACCTCTATGTCTGTATATGTGTGTAAAACATATACATATATAATCGCATATACACAAAAGTGTGAAAAGGTAAGGAAGCAGAAAATCTCGGCTGGGTTTATTAATAGAGCCAAACAACTCGTACAGGTTGCCAGCAGCCTTGCAAGCATAAGCCTTCCCCACCTTCCTCACGCCCCGCCCCTTCCCTTCCCGCCACGCCCTGCCCTACCCTCCTGGACCTAGTCAAAAACTCAGCCCGGGTGGCGGCGGCGGCGGCGGCGGCGGCGGTGGCAGCATTGGCATCGGTGAAGGAGTTCCCCGCCCCGACCCGACCCGACCCAGCTCGTGCAGCCCAACTGAGCATGCCTACTGCTTAAAGCGCTCTCAGAGTTACCAAGTAGACGCTTGAAGCGGAGTACCTGGATCTCCAGGCTGCGGCTCCTGATTGGACGGGCCAAGGCGACCCCGCTGTAAGGCGACACTGGATTGGCGGAGGAGGGCCCGGCATGTGCCCCAGAGCTGGCTTTGTACACACGGCCGCTTCCCCGGCCCTTTAACAATGAGCGGCGAGAGCGGCTTGTCTTGGGGCTGAAGCCGAGCCTGGGGCCCGGGGACGCCCGCGCATGATGAGCCGGGCCCTGGCCCGAGCACTGAGCGCCCGGATTCTGGGTGAGTGATCGGAGGAAGGGGGCGGGGAAGGTGCGGGATCAGTCGGCGTGAGGGCTGAGGCCCCGGCGGGCGGGCGGGCCCTTTGTCCAGCTCCGACTCCCAGCCGGGAGCCGCGCCCAGCCGCCGCCCGCCCGGTCCTTCATTCCGTCTGTCCGGTTCTCCCGGAGAGCAGCCTTGGGGTGTGGGGGCGCGCGCGTGCACGTCGTACTTAGATGGGCCAGCATGGGTTTCCCAGTAGAATGGAAGCCCAGTGAGGGCAGGGGCGGTTTCATTCTGGGCTTTGGCTCCCCGGCGCCCAGTTCGTGCCTGGTACGTAGTGGAGGACTAATAAATTGCGTGCGCCTGGGCGTGTGTGTGTGTGTGTGTGTGTGTGTGTGTGTGTGTGTGTGTGTGTTGTTTACTTTGATGGGTGTCTTCCCCGTAGAGCGGAAGCCCCGTGAAGGGAGGGGCAGTTCTGTCTGTGCCTCGGACCCCAGCCCGTGGTACCACCTGCTGCCTCCTGGACACCTAGATAGATAGGCGCTTATTGATTGGCGGGGGGTGAGGGGTGAGGGGTGGGGAGGCGGCCTCTGCCCTTGGTACCGGCAGGTCTGCCTTCATCCTCGGGCTGGTGGTTTTGAGGGTCCCTGAGCTCACAGCCCTAAACCTGCCACTGCTCCTGGTTCTGGTCATGCCTGCCGAGTCCAGCTCAGCATCCCATCTCCCACTTTTGTGCCTTCATACAGGCTCTCTTCCTCGACTCACCCTCTCGCCCTCACCTCCAACTCTTAAAAGTCCTTGGCTTCTTAAGGCTTAATTCCACTACTCTCCTTCAGAGACCTTGACCTCTTCGTTGTCAGCGATCTCTCTTTCCTCTAATTATCTCCCACCCTCACCTCCAAGAATTAATTGTAAGTTTCTCAAGGGCAGGGACTGCTTTGTCTTTGAATCCTCAGAGCCCAACCCCAGTACCTTGCCTATGCTTCATAAATGCTGGGTTGGGGTGATCAGGTTTCTAAGGTCTTAAAGTTTTCGGGGAAACAGGTCATCTTGATTTTTGAGCATATTTGCAGGGTGGGAGATTAACTGCATCCCAGTGTTCCTCTCAGTAAATTGTCCGTGTTTGTGTGTATATATATATATATATATGCATATAGACTGAAGCTGTTGGATCTGGCTAAGCTTCCCATCCCATCCCATGGAGCTGGAGGGGCAGTGGTGGAAAGGACAGCTGGCTGCTGATATCCATCAAGCGCTAAGATACAAGGTAATCCTGAATGCTTCCCCGTCTCCTCAGGTGGCCTAAATTAGATAATCTGCCAATCACACGGAATCTGCCCATGCCAGAGAACCAAGATTCCGGAATCTCAGCTCAGAATCTTAGCTCATTGTAGTCTTAGAACAGGAAAGGGGAAATGGCTGAGTTTGTCTACTTCTCTGTCACCTCCTTAATCCATTTCCTGGGCTGTATCTCAAAAGTCCAAAAACATGTCAATAAGAAAAAACCTTCACCAAAAAAAAAATGGCAAGACCCTTCTTGCATTGTTAGTTTCTAAAATGAGTTAAGCAGTCAACTGTAGGAAGAATAATTGAATTAACTTTTGGGGATGTGGGCAGGGAAGAGATCTTAATTTCTCTTTGAGTATTAGCCAGTTAGTGCCCTTTCCACTTTTTTTTTTTAGTTATGTACAGTTTTGGAGGCTTTAGTACATGAAAGAATTCCTTAGCAACTTACATTGTTCTTGCTTTGCTCCTTGGAGACTGAATACCATTATAAAGGCACCCTTAAAGGGTGGAAGGGGCAGACACTTCATTCAGATCCTGAGAATTCTGCTAACAATTGAATTCTGAATCCATAGATGTATTGCAGGAAGTATAAAAGTAGATCTGATGTAGTTATTCTTATCATCTTTTCAACAATATGTATTTACTGATATAGTCAGAGGCAGGTTTTTTTGGTGTGTTTTTAAGTATAAAGTCCTTATGCCTACCAGTGAGCCATTTCTTACTCCCATTTTCTCCATAACTCTTAAAGATTTCTGATCTAACTGCTTTTAAATCCTACTCAGTTTTTAGGTCTGGGTCATTACTTAAATGAAAGAACAGGGGAAAACACGACAGTTGAACTCTCTGTAGAAAGGATCTTGCCTGAATTTAGGTAATTTCTCAGAAGAATGAGCTGACTAAACTGTGAAACTTAATTTTGATTTAGGATATAGGATCAGCTGTCCTTGGTTTGAAAGTATCAAGTTGCTATATTTATTTATCTCAACTAAGTAGCTTATTAGTAGATTTAAGATTTCTGAAGTACTGCTTATTAATTTAAAATCTTAATCAGGGAATAGAGGTCTTCCTAGTAAATATTTTAGCTCTATCAATCCTGTGAGAATTTTGTTGTAGTAATATCTATTCTATGCCTCAGGAAAGTTGTGAATAGGGCTGCTGACTTTTCACCTTGAAAACTGACAAGATTTTTATGGACTACTTCTTTTATATGCGAATTTCATTTTCAGTTTGAACTTTTTCTTTCTTTGGAATATTCCTCCCACTGTGTGAAGAATGTGAGTGCCAATGGATGCAAATTTCCTTATTTCATATAAACTTTCGTAGATTTTTCTTGGAGTACAAATCAATGAAGATATTTTTCCTCCACTTAATAGAATTTTTTTCCAGTTCCCTGTAAAGATAGTTTTCAACATTCACTTTTAGAAGGTTTTAATATTAAAATTTTTCTGTCTCCCTCTTTTCTCATCCTCCTCCCCAAGAGAGCAAGCAATCTGATATAGATTATACAGGTACAATCATATTAAATATTATAAAAATATTTTTGCCATTTCCTAATTTTATTTGTATAGATTTGCATTTTGGTTTTATTTTTATCTTTATATCCTGAGCATTTTGCATATAGCAAGTGCTTAAATATTTTTTACACTGAATTGAAGTCAAATTCTTCTGAGAGAGTTCTAAGAAATTGGCTTACTTTATCAAATTTACTTTCCAGTGAGTGGGCTATGTGGATATAAATGTCTTAAGATCAAAACTGTGTGACAGTTGGGTACTTTTCTGCCCTTTCATCTTCTTTTGTTAGCTTTCATCCTAGGGTCCTACAAGGATATCGAAGGCTTTTTATGGACTTCTAAGTAAATAGTAATTTTTAGAGAAACTGAAAAAAGAATATTCCAGCTTTTTTGGTGATGAGTTTAAGAAAATTCTTACTTTGCAAGATTAATTAGTTGTTCCCATGCTTAAGAATATCACCTGCCTGTACTTTAATATTGTTCAAATAATTAAAGCACTTGAGGAGAGTGGAGTTTGGGATTATCTAATTGGGAATTGATAAATGGGATAAAGGGTGCTGACCAAGTCAAGTCTGGTCTGGAAAAATTTGGATTCTGCAGGGAGTTGAGAAAGAAGTTTATTACTGAGTAGCAGGAGAAGAGAAACTTGCAAGCTTGAAGAAATATAGTTTGTTGTATTCCCTTATTTTAGATTGGTCTAAAGGTTGTCTGACATCTTTTCCTTTTTTTTTTAAATACGCAATCTCAATATGTTTCTGATAAAGTGTTAAAATCTTTTGTGTTATTGTTTTTCATGGCATAATACTTAAGTGTTAGGTGATTAACACAAGTCTTCCTTGTCTTACATAAATGTAACCTCTAGATTTTAGAGAATTAGTTAAGATGAGAAACTTGTTCATGGCAGAACCTGAAGGCACATACTTAGCATGCTTTCAGGCAAGAATGTCTTACCTGATAGATGGTGATATACACTTGGAGTGTATTATATTACACTATGGTGGTTGCATCACATATTCTAAATGCTCAAACAGTATAGGAGCAAGGTCTAGGAGCTACAAGTATATAGGCAAAAAAGTGACCTTTGTTCTTGGGAGAATTGTTCCTATTTCTCCCTACTCAATTTCCAAGGAGCCAGAGGTTATCAATATGAGTTAAGAAAACTTTTGTCTATGCATGTATTCATCTAATAACAAAGAGATTAATGGGAGAAAAGACTATTAATGTGGACTAGACTTCTAAAAGACATATAGTTCTTAGTATATGATAGTGGCCAACTTATGATGGAACTGGTTACCATCAACAGACATGTACTCAAGTGAATATTGTCCTAACCAATGTCATTTTGTATAATGGTTTTAATATATTATAATCTTAATTTGATATCTTTTGACTGGTTGCAGTTTATAATAGCGTTGCTATGGAACTAATTGCTCCTTAAACATTGTTTTACCTAAACTTGTTTTTACGGAACAGTGACTTCAGATGAGTATGCCTGTAATTCCTTCCTATCGTAAAGTATTTAGGCTCTTCTGATATTTTTTTCTTATGGAGATGTCACCGATTTTATGATGGAAATCAAGAAGAAAATAAGAATCCTCTTCATTTAAAAAAAAATCCCCTTACTAGAATACAGCTTTTAAAAGCATGAGAGATCTTTATTTGGATAAGACTCTGTGAGAAAATTTTCTAGAGCATCCTTCTCATCACTTTGAATTTGAATTGCCTGTACCACCAAGATACTTTTTAGGCCACAGCAGAGGTAGCAAGAGGACACTAAAGAATTAGAAGAGAATAATTTTTAAAATTAAGTCTTAGGCCATTTATTAAATGTGTTCTCAGTTTCCTTCTATTTTACTCAAGTGTTTCGGTCATTAGAAATAACAAGTAGTATGTCATTTAATCTTTTAAAAGCAAATTTGTATAAAATATTTGCATTCACTGAAATAGTTCATTCTCTGGGTTTTGTTTAATGCTAGATGTTCTTGCTTTTCTTGTAGGAGCTGAAGTTGCCCACCTATAAAGGCCAGTCTCCTCAGCTAAATCTCAGGCGGTATTTTGCAGACCTGATTGCTATTGTGAGCAATCGATTCACTCTTTGCCCCGCAGCACGACATCTCGCTGTCTATTTGCTCGACCTCTTTATGGATAGATATGACATCTCCATCCAGCAGCTGCATTTAGTTGCACTTTCCTGTTTGCTTTTAGCAAGTAAGTTTGTACTCTGACGAAACTGGAAAGAGTTTGCTATTGCTGTGAAGACCAGCTCTGATGTGTTGTTAATTTAAACAGAGAGGACCTAGAAAACGTCCTTCAAATTTGTTTTGTAAGAAGATTTATTTGGATGAGCATTACAGAATCTTGTTTTGGACCACAATGATCAAGAACCTTGTGTAGTCCCCTTTTAGAGAGGGGACCCACGTGTCTACAGTTGTATCTCTTGTAGCAAATTAAACATGCAGATACTCAAATCTACCTTTAGTCTCAGCATTGCATAGTTATTTGGTAGGTGGATGACGGGTGGCCTTATCAGTTTTATGTTAACAATAGATAATGAATAGCTACATCTCTGTCTTGATGCCTGTCCCTGAGCTGTTTCCATGCTTGTCAACGCTGGTACCAAAAGACATGTCAGAACAAGGAAAGTTTTAGTTAATTCTGCTATTTATCTGTCTTAGAAGTTTGTGTTGGAAGCATAAATTGAAGCTTTTAAACAGCCTGGATTCCTACTATCCACCTTCTCATTGTCATCATGGCAGAGTGTAGTTGTACTGCGTGTTATTACCACCAGCACATGAGGGAGGACTTCCCTTCTTTTGGGGCCTGAGGTTTTAGAGCCATCATACTCTGCCTGTCTTGCTCTCCTCTTAATAAGTGTGATGACAACAACATAATCTCAAGCCCAACGTTTTTAGTGCTATCAAAACTACTTAAATATAGGTGGTGAGAAGAAGTAGGGGTGTGAGCTTCATAGCAACACTGTAATTACTTTTCTGTGTAAAGTCCATTGTTGTACAGTTTAGGATTTGGGCCTTACTTTCCAGTCACTGTGATTAAACTTCCACTTCTAATAGAGTCTCTGCTACCTTGTTGTTACTTTCTAAATTATGAGATAAAATCTGCCCCAGAACCAGCCGAGGCACTTCTCTCTGGTCACCCAGATCCTCTGCTTAGCCCATTTAGACTCTGGTCTTTCTTATTCCATGTTTATATTCCTAGTCTTTTTATTGAATTCTCCTACACTAGCCACCTAAAGAGCTCCATGTATGTCTTGTGGAACCCAGCCTTCTCCCTTGTATCAGGCTAGGATACCTATGAAATCAATAGGTTTCTTCTGTGGTCTAGCTTCTATTGAATTGAACTCTCCCCCATTTTCCCATCCTTTACACAAAACCACCTTCTGTCACTCACCCAGACACCTTTAATCTGTTGTTCCCAGAGCCTTTATGTCTCCCAGAGGAGCCAAAGAGAAAGCTATTGTTTATCTACTAACAATTAATCTTCAAGTAAGTTATAATTACTTAACTTAGACATCTGTATGTAAAAGAGATCATCTCAGGTATATGCATTTGTGGGAAGGGAAAGCAATTTTTCACAATCCCCAGGGCTGGCCCTAGGTTTTCTGGCAACCTAGGCAGAATTAAAACGATTATTTTACAGAGACAGACCATTCTTTAAGGTAGGCATTTTTTTTTATGTCCAAAGCTACTGCTTGCTTTTCTAGGGACTTCAGCTAGCCTAGTAACTTTGTGGGTTGGTAACCCTTTGTGGCTTGATATTTTACAAATTTTGAAGTTGTATTTATCAGGTCACACACATTAAGTATTTGCAGAATAGGATAGTTTTTGTTGCTGTTAGCCTTGTAGAACATCAGCATTTCATTTAGTCAAAAGATCACTTTTCTAAATCTTAAAGTGCTAAGGAAATGTGAATTGTTATTACCAGATTGAAACAGGATTGGTGCTGCCCCTGTGCCAATGTCCCTTCCCCTCTCTCAAATAATCCTAGCACCTCTCCCTTGGCTGGGAACAGGGGCAGGAAAAAGGGGGATTACAGACCTTGAAATGATGACCTCAGAAAGCCACTATTTCTCCATGGTCCCTTGTGGGTGTCTTAGGGTATTTTTAAATGACAGAGGCACCAACCATTCAGCATCTAAAATCCTAAATTTTAGCCTACTAGTTGGTAAAGAACTACACTCCCCCCCACCTCATCCCCCTCTCATGCTTTTAGAAAGTACAGATGAAGTAGAAGCTTTCCAGTCTTGGGATGTAGCCCTAGGGCAGCAGAGATTTACTTTTTGTATCATGGATTCCAGTGGCAGTCTGAGGTCCATGGACCCATAATCATTTTTTAAACAAATACAATAAAATCCATAGAGTTAGGAAATCAGTTCTGTTGACACAAAGTTATCAAAATGTTTTTCCCATCCAAGTTCAAGGATCCCCTGAAGCCTCTCCATGGATCTTGTGCATCCATAGACCCCATGTTAAGGACTGTTGCCCTAGAAGATGATGTTGAGACCTTGGTCTTCCACCTTCAGCTCTCCCCTGACATAACGCTGTGGCTTACTGAAGTACAACGTCAGCTGGCGAAGCAATCTGGCTAGGTATAGTTGGTAGGAAGCCCCTGAAACCTGTAGGCGTAGATTGTGCCTGCTGGAAGATAAGTACCTTCATGTGTGCACCAATTCCATAAGCCTTCCCTCATCCTCCACTTATTGTTAGTTTTTGCTCCCTTCTCAGATCAGTATGGATTTATTTGTTTACATAAACTGTTTGGTCCTTGAGGGAATTTTTTGTTTCACCTTTGTGTCCTCTATACCTGGCATGTAGACACTTAATAAATGCTTATTATATTTGATTTGGCTTTCTAATTGGACAACCGTATAGCATTTGCCTAGCATTTAATCCCCATGGGTTCTGATCCATTCTAGGATAGTTCTGTGTAATTCTAGATTCAGTCACATCGCTTCTGACTTAGAACATAGCCAAATCCTTGTTTAGTCTTAGCATGTACCTGGTCTCCTCCTGGGTTCACAAGTAGGCCCCAGTGTCGATAAAACTATTTACCATATATAACTTTCTCTATCATGGCAGACATTTGATGTGTGTGGAAAGGTGAAATGGTTTTCTTTTTTGGCCAAAACGTTTAATGATTAGCTCTTTTCTTTTTCTCTCATTTGCCCCAAAAGTTACTTAATTTCATATTAATATACCATTTTAGTGTTCCCCCGAGTCTAGATGAAGCCAAAAGTCAAGAAAGGTCTTTCGAAGGCTATTAGTGTGTAGGTAGGTGCCCCTTATCTGCATGGCTCTGTTCAGTTAGGGTTTATGATCAGAGAAGTAAATCCCTTTTAAAACCCTTTAGCTTGTAGAGTATTACTTTCCTTTTTATACTTAATATTATTATTCAGTGACATTGTGCCTGATGTGGAACCTCAAGGAAACACAGTGCTAATTCTTGGCCCAGAGTTTAGATTTTTTGGACATGCTTTTTTTTTTCTGTAACAAGTTAGAGTGAAGTGCTTAGATAGCTGGGATATATCACCAGCTCTAAATGGGGGGAAAAAAGATTCTCCAAAATTTTAATCTGAAGCAAAGCAGAAATCCCAAATGTGGTTATTTAAAGATGTGCTGCCTTTCTAAAGTCAATAAATTATGAAATATTCACTTACTTAATAACTACTTGGTAAATACAAAGTTCCTATAAACGCTTGTTAATGCAGGTTTCATAACAAGCCCCTGCCTACTCAGGTAATAGTCTTGCACGTGAAGTCGAGTTGCTATGCTTTGATCTACAGGTCCAGATGTGGGCATGGAAAGAACAGCTCTCCAGCTTCTATTCTCAGTGATACCCAGCTTTAATGACCTTTGGTGAAGCGCCTACCTTCTCTGCTCCATCTGTAAAATTAGTAACCTTGTCCTTTGTTTAGGTGGTCGAAGTTTCAATGAGGTAATATAAAGCATTCTGCTCTTTGAATTTGACAGTGGAGTACCAGAATTTCAGCTGACACTGTCTGGTAATAATAAATATCTTTCTTTTAAGCAACTTCAAACACAAACCTTTCATTAATTAAAGTGTACAACTGTCCTTTGAAGTACACGGCAAGTCTTATTGCCACTTTGTAGTTGGCAAGGCAAGGTTTTGGTTTGCATTTCTAATTCATTACTCATTCTGAAGAATTTTGTTTTGTTAGTGTCAGACCAATAAACTAATCTCCTGTATCTTCACATTATAATAATTTGGAATAATTATCTTATAGGTTAAGGCTATTTTAGAGCAGCTCCCTGGACAGAAACAGGTGTTGATAGTCTGAAGCTTAGAAAATTTAAGCATGCTAATTTGGGCTAATTATTTATAAGCTGTGTCTGAAAATTCCAGATGATAGACAGATTTCCTACTAGCAATTTAACATAGGAATTTTATGTAAAATGAGTTCATGACTCGTTGATGTAGTCAGGTGTCACCAGCTAACTAACTGGCATGGAAGTGAGCTGATGGAGGGGGGAATGTTAGTAAACGTGCATGGCGTACGCTATTGCAACAGCCACGGAGGGGCTACTGAAGCTAGTGTCATTACATCGTTGTTTTTTACACGGACATAAAGTCACATTTTGTGATAGTGAGGGTACTTCAAGAGATAAAAGACCTGGTTCAGTGAAACGAGGACAAGTTCCTTTTCCACCACTTACAAGATGATCTTGAACAAGTTAGGCCCAGTTACCTCATCCCTAAAATGGAGATAATGATTGTACTGGGATGTAGTTAGCACATTGAACCAGATGAGTTCTTGAGGTTGTTACCCAAATTTTATGGTTATATAAAGATAATGCCTAAATGATTGAAAATGGAAGTAGAAAGTATAACTGTCTCCTAGAGAAGAGTGATTGCTGAATGATGAAGACTTAGGAGAAACAATGGGGTTACTATTAATCTTTGCATGTGGATCTAAATCACTTTTTCTCAAGAGGAAGTTAGAACCCTTGAGACTTCATTGATTCTGCAAAATTGTCATTTTTGTCTTTTAAATCTTACTTTAATTTACCTCCTAAAGGAGCAAGAGAGTGATTGTTGGCATAGTAGAAAGTATGGGACCTAGAGGTCAGAAAACCTGGATCTAAGTCCTTGGGTCCACTTTTAATGAGGTATAGATAACTTTAGCCATATACCTTTAGCCAGGGGTTCTTAATCTAGGGGTTTGTGGATAGCTTTCAGAGGATCTTTTAACTTTTTAAAAAAAAATTTGATAACTATAATGGGTTTCATTCCTCATCTATATGTTTTATTTATGCACTTAAAAATAATTCTGATAAGGGATCTATAGGCTTCACTGGATTGCCAAGAGTTCCATGATCCCCCAAAAAGTTAAGAGTCCTTGTTTTAGGCAAATCGCTTGACACCTCTGGGTCCGTTTTTTAATCTCTGAAAGGAGGGGTTGGACAGAGTAGTACCTGAACTCCCTTCCACTTCAAACATTTGTTATCTGTATTTTTTCAGAGGGGGGAGAGGGAACAGAATCCAGTTTCTTCAATCTGTTCAGATTTCTATTTCCAGTGATGAAGTGTTTATATTTTTAAAAACTGAAGTACTTTCGAGTTTAGGAAAAAAGCCCAGAATGACATCCTACCTCAAAGGGAAAGAAGTAGAAAAGGGCGGCGGGGCGGGGTGGGGGGGGTTTGTTGTTGCTCTTTAAAAGAATTGTTAACCTATTATTTTGGACCTTCAATCAAACTGAGATTTAGCTGGTAAGATAATTTGTTTTTCTTTCACATGGTTAGCTCTATTTTCATCTTGCATTAGAATATACATCCAAATGTTTACTACATTCCATAGTTCTGAATCTAGGAGGAAAATGATTAACCATATAAGTTAATCTGTAGAACCAGTAGGGAAAAAAAAGGATAATTCCATGTTTTATATGCTTTAGGAAGAAGAGACTTTTTCTTTGGATCAACTGTTCACATTGATGGCAGATGAATAATGTTTTATTGACTGGCTGAAATTTCTTACTGCCTAATTATTTCCTTTTATGTTTTTGTTCTGCAAGGTAAATTTGAAGAAAAGGAAGATAGTGTGCCCAAACTAGAGCAGCTGAACAGCCTTGGCTGTATGACTAACATGAATCTAGTATTAACGAAACAAAATCTACTACACATGGAGCTATTGCTGTTAGAAACGTTTCAGTGGAACCTCTGCCTTCCAACAGCTGCCCATTTTATTGAGTATTATCTTTCTGAAGCAGTCCATGAAACAGATCTGCATGATGGCTGGCCAATGGTTTGTCTGGAAAAAACTAAGCTGTACATGGCGAAGTATGCTGATTATTTTTTAGAAGTGTCACTGCAAGGTATGCTTCTGTTCTAGAAGATTGATTTGTTAGTTGATCAGTGTGTGTTTTCTGTTTACTTAAATTCATTCTTGATGTCTTCACAGATTATGCCTTTCTAAATTATGCACCTTCCCTAGTAGCCGCTGCTTGTGTGGCTTCTTCAAGAATTATTCTTCGTCTTTCCCCAACATGGCCTACTAGACTGCATCGCCTAACTGCCTACTCTTGGGATTTCCTGGTGCAGTGCATTGAACGATTATTGATGTAAGCCTCTGTTTACAGTTATATTTGTAATTCCTTGAATTAGATAGTATTTTAAAATCACAGCAATTTCTAATATTTTTCCTAATGTACAAGTTGCTTTAGAAGCAACCAGTTCAAGTTATGTGTTGTTACAAGTGAATTTTCACAAAGGGCTTGAGAAAAACCTTGTCCCTGGCAGCCAGCTAGGTTCCATGAGCATATTGTTAAGGACATAAAATAAGAGAGGATCCAGGCCTAACATCAACCACAAACTCAGATAAAGGTCTTGTTAGCAGGATCTGAATAATAGGTAAGTGACAGAGACAGGGCGCAGAGTTTGCATGCTTGTTTTCCTCCTTATCTCTGAGCTGCATTGGGCAGATCTTGTTTCTCTCCTGTTCTCCGAGACCTTTTTGGTGGGCTGCCATACAGCAGTAATACCTTAGTGGCAGTAGTACCTTAGGATTCCTACCGACTTTCTGGAAATTTTTACAATAGCTTACAGTAGTTATTTGACTATATATGATGGCAGTCTGACATTCCCCAGGGTCAAGACATAGGGGAGACAGCCTATGAAAGGCAACAAGGAGAGGAATTCTTTTTGGATCAAAGCTGGGGGATCAGGTCAGTTATGAAACTGCTTTAAACGTTATCACTTATATAACAGTACAGTGACTTTGATCTGAGCAGTATTAGAAGCAGGAGATACTGGCTTTGGAGGTGACCTTAGAGATAATCTAGTCCAAAGGTGGGGAACCTGTGTCCTCAAGGCCACATGTGGCCCTCTAGGTCCTCAAGTGCAGCCCTTTGACTGAATCTAAACTTAACAGAACAAATCCTTGGGATTTGGACTAGATAGTTTGGATTCGGTCAAAGGGCCGCACTTGAGGACCCGGGGGGGGGGTGCCACATGTGGCCTCAAGGCCGCAGGTTCCCCACCCCAGTTAGTCCAACATCTTGTTCAGTTGGATGAATCTCTTTTACAACATCTCCTATGGATGGACATCTATTTGAATATGTATGGTGAAGAACATTTTTGCTTTAATGCACTATTTGCCTCCTTGTAATTTTTTAACTTTTGTCATAGTTCTGTCCTTAGGAGACAAGCAGACTATCTTAATCCTTTCTTATGACATCTCTGCAAATTTTTAAGTCTTCATTCAGGTCTCCCCTGAGTTCTCTGCAGCCTAAATGTACCCAGGTTTTTAAACTGGTCCTCATACGGCATAATATTCGAGTATTCACTCCATTCTTTTGCCTTTATGGGCACCTTCTGATTTTTCAAATTTTATTTTAGAAGGTGACACACAGGATTAAAAGTTGTATTCCAGATGTGGTCTGAATAGGAAAAAGTACAGTGGGAATACCAAGTATCTTGTTAGAGATATTATACTTTTGTCTAGAGTTTGTGACTGTCAAGTCACTGTCAGTTCATTGAGTTTACAGTTCACTAACATTCCCATGGCTTTGAACACGAACTGTTATTTAACTATATCCATTATACTTGTATGGTTGATTTAACCCAAATAGATTGGCTGTTTCTGTACAGACAGACCACTGACTTGTTAAAGATAAAAAATAATAAAAAGCTAGGTCAAAAAAATCAAAGTGAGAAAGGTAATGCTGTACAATTAAAACAACCCATTTGTGATCTATTTCAACAAGTTCATGATGATGAAAAATGGGATATAGATGGACAAAGACATAGACACAGACTGCGAGCACTCCTACAGAAATCTAACCAGTGTATATCAAATATTTCATTAATTTGCCAAGCTGAAAGAAATTATAGCTGAGTATAACACTAGTTTAGAATGTAAACTTGTTAATAAACTCTTACAGAGAAGGATGATGGAACTTAGATTTTAACATCACAGGTTCTAGTGTGCTTTTAGAGGAGGTATGAATGGTTTTAAAGAGAACAGAGATTGGAAAACCAATCAGATTAGGTTGACCATATAAAGAGTCAATATTTGCTGGAGATGATAAAATTGTGAAGCCGTTGAAAGATTGATCTGCAAGACTTTCAAAGGAGGGGAAGATGAAGAAAGCTCACCTTATCACTAAGAAAAGGCAGGCAAGAACATCAGCTGCTACTTAACTTCATACTTTGCTATCCATATAAACTATCTAGGCCATATATCCATTTGGAGCTTATTTTGGTGCATGGTATGAGATATTAGTCTAAATTTAATTTTTGCCAAGCAGCTTTCCAGTTTTCTCAGCAATTTTCATCGAATAGTAAGTCCCTACTTTAATAGTTGGAGTTCTGTTGCCTTTTGGGTCTTATGTTCCTAATTTGCTCCACTGATCACCTTTCCTATTTTGTGAACCACTACAAAATATGTTTTGATAATTACTACTTTATAGGACAGTTTCAGATAGGGTAATGCTAGATTCCCTTTCTTTCCTCTTCGTCTCCCTATTATTAACTCTTTTTCCCAGAAGATGAATTTTGTTGGGTTTTTTCTGGCTTGATATGAAGTAACAAGTTGGTAGTTTCCTTAGTATGGAACTGAATACTAAATTTAAAAATATAAATTAATATAGGTAGAATTGTCATTTTTATTACATTGTAATCCATCCATGAGCAATGAATATTTCTCCAATTATTTAGGTCTCTATTTCTAGAAAGAGTATTTTTCTACTTGTATTTGGTCTTACTTGTTAGACTTCTAAGTATTTTGTACATTCTGTAGTTATTTTGAATAGAATTTCTTTATTTCTTCCTGTTGGGCTTGTTGGTAATATACAGGAAAGATGATTTTTGTGATTTTTATTATATCCTGCTACTTTACTGAAGTTATTGTTTCAATTAATTTTTAGTTGAATCTCTGGGATTCTCTACATAAACCATCATATCATCTGTAAAAAGTGATATTTTGTTTCACCTTTGCCTATTCCTTTTCCCTTGGTTTCTTTTTCTTATTGCTTTACCTAGCAGTTCTAGGACTGTGCCAAATAATAACAGTGACAGTGATCATCCTTGATTGACCCTTGATCTTAATTGAAAGACTTCTAGAGTTTTTCCATTATATATATTAGGTCTTGGTTTTAGAGGAACCAAGGAAATATTCATTTATTCCTATGCTTTCTAGTGTGTGGCAGTGTTGTTTGTATTTTTTAAATATATGAAAGGATGTTTTCTATTCTCAAAGGCTGGGGGTTTTTTATATCTATTGATTATAATTCTGTGATTTTTAAAAAAACATTTCTTTTGTCATTAATATGGTCTACTATGTTTATAGTTTTCTTACATAATTGAAGCAACTCTATTCCTCGTATAAACCCAACCTAGTCATAGTATAGAATCTTTTTAATATGTTGTTTTAGGCAATATTTCATTTAATTTTTTTGGTCAATATTCTTTAGGGATATTGGTCTCTAGTTTTCTTTCGCCTCTTTGTCTCTCCCTGGTTTAGGTATCAAGACCCTATTTGTATCAGAAGAAATTTGGTAGGATCCCTTCTTTTCCTGTTTTTTCCAATAGCTTATATTAAATTGTAGTTAATTGTTCTTATGGTATTTGATGGAATTCGCTTTTAAATCCATCTAATCCTGTTTCTCTTCACTGTCACCCCTCCCTCCTAGTACTAAACTTATGGATTGTTCCATCTGTATTTTTGGGGGGAAATTGTTTTGTTCAAATCCTCTATTTCTCCTCTTAATCTCAGTATTTTATTTTTTCATAAATATTCATTTCATCTAAGTTGTCAGTTTTGTTGGCATATTGGGCAAAATAGTTTCTGATAGTTTCTTTCGTTTCCTCTTTTGTTGTGAATTATTTACATTTTTTGAAACTAGTCTTAAAAAAAAAGCTCCTAGTTTCATTTGTGGAGTTAATGTTTATTTTTTTCTTTCCATTTGGTTCATCTCTTTCCTATTTAGTTGGAGTTTTTGGATTTGTTAGGGATTCTTTTTTAGTTATAATACTGACTCATCTGTTCTTTATCTCTTTTGTTGATGAAAGTGTTTAGATATAAATTTTGCTCCATTTTATATCTCAGAGTTTTAACATATTTCTCATTATTTTAATTTTCTTTCATGAAATTCTGTTCCTATGATTTGTTCTTTGACCCATCAATTCTTAAAGATTAAACTGCTTACTCTCCCATTTAAGATTAGATCCTTTTTTCAAAGGTTCTTTATTATAATTTTTCCTACATTGTGGTCAATAAAGAGTTTAACATTTTTGCTTTTTCATATTTGTTAATGAAGTTTTTATGCCCTAGAATATGGTCACCTTTTTCGTAAAGGTGACATGTACAACTGAGGGGTGTGTGTGTAAATATAGATCTCTTTCTACATATATATATATCTATATACATATAGATATATATATATGTGTGTGTGTATGTATATATATATATGTATATATGGATGTGTGTATGCATACATATGTATATATTTGCAACATTTAATTTTTCCTTTAAGTATTTTGATGCTGTGCCATTTAATGACTGTATGTTAACTATTGATATAATTTCATTGTCTGTGATGCCTTTAAGGATAATATAGTTTTCCTTTTTATCTCATTTAACCTTGTCTTTTTTTATTGTTGCCATATCTAAGATCATGATTGCTACGCTTGCTTTCTTGAGTTCACCTCAAGCATAATGCTCTCCTAGCCCTTCATTCTATGTGAATCTTTCAAGTTTTTTTCTTGTAAATGATATATTGTCGAGTTCTTCTTTCTGGTCTAATTCTGTCCTCTCTAATGGGTCAGTTCATCCCACTTATATTCGTAGTTGTGATTGTTAATCGCATATTTTCCTCATTATATTCTCTTATACTTTTCCTCCTTTGCCCCAATCTCATCCTCTTTACAAAGAAGATGATAAAGAAGAGAATGATTAACGTTAGTGATATATGATAGAATCAATCTGCTTCCATTCTGTTGCCCCTCCTCTCTTCCCCTAGACGAAACTCTGACCATTGATTTTTACTCCCCCTCAAAATTTTCCCCTTAGAGGTTGAAATTTGGTTGTTTGTGACTATTTCTTCCTCAATTTCACCCTCTCTGATTGCTTATTGAGTTCATTGTATCACTCACTTCAACACACTCTATGTGTTCAGTGCTCTTCTATTCGATTCAAATAAGAATGTGATTCATGTGTTTCCTATTAGTCCCATTTCTTAGCTCATAATTATATCTTCTTTTTATGTACCTCAGTTATGAAAAATCATAAATTCCATTCTCCTTCTTTCTTTCTCAGTGTGTTCTTTTTTCCTTCCCTTGTCTCTCTTTTCTTAAAGCTATTAAAATAGAATAAGTGGGAGCAGATGTTTTTCCTCATATTTCTTGCTTGAGGCCAACTTTGGTCAGTAAATTTACATAATATTCCGTTACATTTTCTTTGTTGTTGTTTTTTCCATTTAACATTATTGTACTCATTGTTTGTCATTTTCTTAGTTCTCCTTCACTTTGCATCACTTCGTAGATGTCTTTCCCATGCTTCTCTGAATTCACCAGAGTCTTTGTTTCTTACTGCATAGTAGTATTCCTTTTCCTCCATGCCCTACAACTTGTTTGGCCTTTCACCAGTTGATGGGTATGTACTTGGTTTCTTGTTCTTTGGTTCTACAAAAAGTGCAGTCATAAATATTTTGGTGTCTCTGGGAGGGCCTTTCTTTTTGTCACTGACCTGTTTGAGTTATAAAGTATGCCTAACAGTGCAATCTCTGGATCAAAGGGTATGGATATTTAATTATTTACTTTGCATGCTATGGTTCCAAATTTCTTTCCAGAATTGCTGGACCACTTCACGGCTCCACCAGTGCACTAGTATACCTGACTTTACACAACCCCAGACTGATGGTCTTAATAGACTTGAAGCCCAAATAAGTCAAGAGTATGATATGACAAAAAAAAAAACTAGACCTGAGTCTGTAGCTACCGTCCTTTCCTTTGTACCTCTCTATTTAACTGTACTATGACCCAATCTTCTTTTCTTCATCTTGGCCACAAGGCTGTTAGGAGAGACTTGTCTAATACCTTGCAGAAATCCATGTGTATACTTTGTCCACAACATTCCCCTATCTTCGAGTCTAGTGACCTTAGGCCAGGTCTTACTGATCACTGCTCCTTTTTCTAAATATCCAGAAGGCAATCTGTAATGGATATTTACTAGAGGGGATATCAAAGTCTATAGGCTTCAGAATCAATCTGCATAACCTTTTAAAAAATTGGAACACCATTGATCTTCCACATAGCACCTGCATAATTATGTCAGTATCTCAGATAGCCATTTAGCAATCATGTCTGCAAGTAGGCTGTTCTCTACTTCAGGCAGGTCAGGTCATTAGAACAGGTTAAGGGCTAGCCAGGGACTGTCTTACTATCTGTTCATTTATCTTCACCATTGCTGTTCTGTCCTTTTCAATCTGAAGATTGTTCCTCTCGATAGAGAAGGTAGAAGGAAAGTAGTTGAGTAATTCTGCTTCTTTTCGGTCCCTCATCAAGCTACCAGCTCCATGAAATGACTGTTATCCCAGTGTAGATTTTTTTTTTTCTTAAGCCATTTAGAAAATATACAAATGCTTATGTTGGACATAGTCTTTGGATATTCTGGTCTTTCACCTTTGACTTAAAAATCATAGTGCTAACTTACATTTGGGTACTTTCCTTACAATGGACCTGTGAAATGGATAATGTTTGTTAGCACTGTCTTCATTTTATAGAAGACAAGTCAGTGCAGCAGAATAAATAGACAGCTGGCCTCAGAATCAGGAAGCCCTGAGTTCAAGTCCCACTTCTGATACATAGTGTTTCTGTGATGCTAGACAAATCACTTAACCTCTAAGGGTCCCAGGCAACTCTCTAATACTATGCTATTAATTTAGGGGAAGGTAGGTGGTACAGCGGTCCTGGAGTCAGGAAGACCTGAGTTCAAATCCAGCCTTGGGCACTTATTGGTTGTGTTGTCCTGGGCAAGTCACTTCATCTGTCTGCCTCGGTTTCCTCAGCTGTAAACCTACCTTCTAGGATTGTTGTGTGGATCAAGTGAGATAGTAATTCTAAAGCACTTAACAGTGTCTGTCATGTAGTAAACCCCATATAAATGTTAGCTGTTATTACTGTAAGTTGCAAAAGAATATACAGACCTGCATTCTTAGAAGCAGTTTTCTTACTGGGGAGTTCCCTAAACCAGTGAAATCATAGGATGCAGTCCTTACTTTCTCTCTCTTTATAGACAAGGAAACCAAATTATAGTATAAATTATGTGAATGTGGCCACATAGTGTGTGGGTTTGGGACCCAGATTTTCTGATTGTTTCTATTGTACCACACTGGCTTCCTGTTATTCTTTCTTTAAAAAAAAAAAACAAAACACTTAGATTTTATTGATATCTTTTGTTTTAGTTTTGCAGCATTCAATTTCGATTCTCTTGTGATTGTTCTTCTGTTTACATTATTGTAGTCATTGTACCTATTGTTTTCCTGACTGCTAACTCTACTTCACATCAGTTCATAGAAGTCTTTCCATGTTTCTCTGTTTTCTTGCATTGTTGGTGAAGCTACAAAGTAACACACACATTCTGGGAAGCATTTTGGAATTTTGCAAATAAAATAACTGAAATGTCTGTAACCTTCATTGACAGAAATGTTCCATGTGTGCCAAAATGTTTGCATCAGCACTTTTTGTTGTAGCAAAGACCTTAAAATAAAATGATGCTTGTTGATTGCAGAATAGCTAAACAAGTATTATATGAACATAAAGGAATCCTCCTGTGTTTCTCTATGTGTTTATAGTCCTTTGGCACATTTCTTGTATTCATGATTGGTTCTGTGCCTGTTTTTTGTACATTTGTAAAAATCTGAATTCATCAAAGAGCTCCTGTAGTGTGGCTGTGTTGTTCTCTGTAAATGTTTCTTCTTTCTCATTGGAGTAACATTCCTCAGCATCTTTAGTTCCTCTTGAGCTGACTTCATTTTATAGTGTCAAACTGTAAGATCACAGGGATCTTTTCCCTCTGAATTTTTAAAAATTTGTTTTCTTAAGTCTAGGAAAAATCCAAGTCTGATTAAATCTAGATCTAATTTTATACCACATGCTACATTCTCCTCTCTGGGCTAAGATAACATAGTCATTTTCTGAGAGAACACTAGTAGTATCAGATTCTTTGAGGTCAGCCATTGCTATAATCAATCTTTTGCCAAACTTATCTTTTTTAAAGTTTTTGAGGATTATAGTAAGATTAAACCCAAAAAATGAGTACTTAGTTATGTAAAATAATTTACTGTCTCTTTGTATTTTAGTGCCCATGATAATGATGTGAAGGAAGCAAACAAGCAGAAAGGACAACCTGGTCCCCAACAAGGTCACCTGAGTGTGTTTCATCCTACATCCCAAACTACACGACCAGTCCACATTCAGCAGCCTCAGTATCTCCATCAAGCACATCAGACCTCACTGCAGTATCGTCATCCAGTGACAGAGCAACAAAACTGTCCACAGATAGTATCTACCAGCACTCACACCTCAACCTACACATTACAGACTTGTCCTACTGGCTTACAGACCAGCGTTCAGGGCCTTGGGCACATGCAGACTGGTGTTGGTATGTCCCTGGCAATACCAGTAGAGGTTAAGCCTTGTCTTAGTGTTTCTTACAACAGGAGTTATCAAATAAATGAACATTATCCTTGCATCACTCCATGCTTTGAGAGGTGATGATTTGTCAAAGTAAGCATTGATCGGGACTTTGTTCTCACATAAGTTCTAAGAATATAAATTAAAGAGAAAGTGCTCTATTCAGAAGGAAAGCAGAGATTGAATGCTAACAAGATTTCAAACACTGAGCCCACTAAAATTGAATTGAAAATATCCTTTTCATTGCATCATGTACACATGGGAAAACTGAACTAATAATTACGTACGAGTCAAATCTGTTGCATGTTATTTCCACAAGAATCTCTGTATAGCAAAAACTTCCAAACCCCAGGTGAAGGTCCAATTATTTCAAGCATTATTCATTACCAAAAAGAAAGAAAAATAATTTGGACAGTTCCTACTTCATTGTAATGGGGTTTGTCTTATGATAAACTTTATGCTGACATTTATCTCAAGGAAAACCACTTTTCTGTGGACTTGCCAAACAGTTTTTGTATGAAGGAAATTTGCAGTATTACTTTTTGAAGAGGTCATTTTTGTATATTGTGATATTTCTGAATAATATACTTGATTTATAGATTAATTTTGACTACATTCAAATTCATTGAGTGCTGTGCTACAGTATCAGTCTGTGCTGTAGAATAATACTAAATTCATTAGTAGAAATTATCCTACATAACTTCCTCTTACAAATAGTATGTGTATTTGGGTATAAGGATTAAGGGCAAAATTTATCTGTTTACAAAATAATGGTTTTTAATATACATACATATTTGCCTGAAGTTTAGATGAAAATACATATGAACTCAGGGAATTTGCACTACTCGGAAACACTTAACTGTAATGCAGCCTGCTTTCGAGACATTGAGAGTATTGACAGCCAGGGGAATTTATAAATATTTATAAATTGTAATTAGGCCAAAATACTTCCACATGCTTTCAAATGAGAATATAGAATCCTAGCACAGGTCAGATAAAGTGGTTGTACCTGTGGTTCATTTTTATATGTCTGTGTGTAGGTTTTGTATTTCTTACTGCAATCTGTGACTTATCCCCAATTTGATAGTTCAGTTTTCTTTTCTTTTCTTTTTCTTTTTTTTTAAAGGTAGCATGATTATAAAATGCAGAGCCTAAAAAAAAAAAAAAGGTATTTGTAAGGAAAGGTTCTCAGGTTGTGCCGGGATGGCACTTTCTGTTTCACAAGAGACAGAGATTTGTAACTAACTTTTGGGTCCAACAAATAAATGTTATTTAAGGGCGCTTATACAAAATTGCTTTAATGGCAGCTGGCAGGACAAGGACTGGCTTATTCTCTGAAATTCCACTGCCTTGTTAATCAGTGGATGCAGCAGTAATCATGACCACAAGAGCAATTTAGGGGTTGAGGAGTGTTGGGGGTGGGGGGAGTAGTAAGTTAAAAGGGGAGAAAATAAATATATTACAATAACTATGCGGTTAGCTATATATTATGTTCTTTGTGGGAGAGAGGGAGGTGTGGTGAAGGGAGACTTCCTGGCTTAAAATGAGTTAAGTTCATTAAAGAAATTTTTTTAAGTAGCACTTAAGTAGAAAGGAGTTCACATGGCTGATATTTGACTGCCATTTTATATGCTAAAGTCAGATGTCAGTGTTATTGCCAAGATATGGGTATGCAGCAGGAGTCAAAGTAGTTGTGGTATTATTCTTAGTAGAGAAGGGACTCGGCATAGGAAGGGAAACTTTCCCAGGAAAACTCCAATACTTGATGCAGGTGGTAGTTCCACATATGTGAATTACAGTGTTTATGAGACAATTTCCTTTTTTTCCTTAAAAAAAAATGCTTTATTGGATGCTTTAGTCATCCAATAGTACTTAAGTTTGGTAGGGGTAGGGATTAACACCAAGGGAAGACTTTTAAAAAACTCGATGTGGAAGTCTTGCTTTCTTAAAGTGCCATTTTAAAAATTAACTTCCCCCAGAACATCGCTTATCTGTATTCCCTTATTTGTAAGTTTCTTGCCTTGAGAAAACTTGAATTACCTGGGGGAAGTTGACGCAAAAGGAAGCTTTCTGTCATATTCACATTTCACAGTACTGCAACTTTGAGTCAAGCTTTCAGTATTTTAACTACCTCGATACGTGATGAATGTAAAGTATTGGGATTGAGATCCCAACTTGAAACAACAGCTGGTGCCTATGGTAACTTAATGTCTCATCAAATGCTTTTATTGGTTTAAATGTCATTCTTGGTGCAGAAGAGTAATTTTTAAAAAAGAAAATTAAGTAATTTCCAGTCTGTGTTCAGACAGCCAATTAACAATGGATTGATTTTAGGGAAAGGATTAAATAATTGGTAATTATTGCTGCATACCCCTTTTTATTTGGCCATTTTAAAGCTTCCAGTTTCAGTTGAAAAGCAATTCATTATTGCTGTCTGTGGTTTTGTTGTTTTGTTTTTGTTTAACTTATTGCTTAGTCTGAGTTTCTCTGAGTACAAGACCATCAAAAATATGTACTGTGAACAGATTAATTTTATATAAGAGGGCTTTACCAAAGGCCAGTGAATACACTACTAAAGGTCAGACTGCAAACCAAAATGTATGTGTTATGGCATTAATTCCAAATAGTGCTTATAATGCAAAAGTCCACAACAATGGAATCTAGATGAGTGCTATGCACTTAGAATTTTAAAATAAAACTAGTTTTGAGTACTATGGCTTTGGTATTCGTTTAAATATGAACTCTGGATGTATATATTTGTCATTTCATTTAACCGTGTTCAACTATAAGTCGGACTTGTTTACTTAGTTATATTCACAAATAATAAAAAGAAATCAGTCCAGAAATGGTATTATGTTACAGTAATTATGCACATTTGTTTTAGTCATTTCAGTTCATTAAGCCTTTTGTGGTCTAATCTTACATTCATTGCTTAGATACAGAGCACAATGAATGCATCTTTAATAATAGTATGATTATGAAGTCTTTGCTTTCCAAAAGTGAAGAGAAAGCAAGTAGGGAATCGGAAAACAAAAGACCAAGGATGGGAGAGGGAAGCAAGGGAGCGTTGGGGTGGGGGATGGGGAGTAAGAATGAGACAAAGTCAGGGAGCAGCAGGAGGAAGAAAGAGCAGGGGCAAGTTAACAGACTGTGTCACTGACACTTGACATCTGTTTCCTTTGGTGTCTTAATTCACTTTCCATCAAACTTACATATAAGATACATCAAGCATTTGACTTCCTCCATGCTTTATTCCCTTTACCTGTGGAGATCCTAACCCCATTATGTCTTGGATGATTTTCAGGAGCTTCTGGGGCCAGAGAATAAATCATCCTGTGATCGCTCTGGTGATAGGCCTCTCTGAATTTAGTAAGGCTTAGTAAGGTCCTTAAAAGATAGACCTGGTCTTATCATTGGACAATACTTGGCCTTTCCAGCTTAGTGGGATGTGCCACAATGTGTATTCCGTGGTCACAGCCTTTAAGAACCCAGGGTCACCTTCACACTGTAATATGGTATCACAGGAGGATCTTAGTGGAGAAGTTTACTAGCCAGGCAAAGGAAATTTGTTGGGTTGTTTTTTTTTTTTAACCCAAGTGGAAATTAGATTTGTCTTGTGTAAGTTTTTCTCAAGAGCAGTTTCACTTTTAAAATGTTAATAGTCAATGGTGTTCATAGCCTTACTTGGTGATTTTAAGTGTAGTATTTTTACGGTCAGTAAATAGGCATTTATTAAATGCCTTGTATGATGTAATAGGACAGTTGTTATCAAAAGGGTATGTATACCTTGGCAGGCGTGAGGCTTGGCTAGATGTGCTACATATGCCAGTCTCCCATGAATTGCATGGGACTTATACTTGTAAATGAATGGGTGAATTTCTTAGTTTTCCTGTGGCATTCTGCATTTTTTCATGGCAAAGAGTAATACTATATCCTGAGCAAAAAGCATGAGAATGGTACTGGTGGTGGTCTTATGACCCTAAAATTTCATCCTCTAAGAAATAGAAACTATGGAAGGATGAGAACATCACAAAAAGCATACCCAACCCCACGTTGGGCAACCCATCTTGATCAAAGGTCCTGAGTGCAACATGGTACAAAACTGGATCAGTCAAGCAGGTATTTTTCAAACACAAACTAAATTTTTAGCCCGAGGATGTATATGAGGAAAAATGAATGGAAACCCATTGGAAAATTGCCATCTGGCTGGATCACCTGGCAGCAGAGTATATTGGGTCAGATGGATGTGGCAAGTAGCATAACAGTGGGACACCGACCAAGTTTGGGAAGTATTGATTCCTTATGGGTTGGTCTTTTTTTGCGTTTGATGACTGAGCCATATCAATAGCTTGAGCCTTAATCTTGAAGACAAAACTGGATTTTCAGTAAGAACTGCATGAATACCTAGAAGAAATGAGATGACATCAAGAAACATTTTTTAAAAGTCAAAAGAATGGGAAAAAAATAAAAAATGTGATTTTCTCTTTGGAAAGACAACTGACCTGGGAAATAAATCGAGGAGAGATAATTTAAAGATTAATGGACTCTCTACAAGAGCCTACATATCATAGTTCAAGAAATTACGAAGGAAAACTTCCTCAGTATCTTAGAACCAGAACCAGTAAAATAGAAATGGAAATAAATCCCCCATGAAAACTCCCAGGAATATTATAGTCAAATCCCAGAACTCCTAGGTCAAAGAGAAAATAATTTCAAGGAGCCAGAAAAAAAATCATTTAAATACACATGGAGCCAATAGTTAGGATCACACAAGATTTAGCAGCTACCATGTTATAAGAGCAGAGGGCTTGGAATATGATATGCTGAAAGGCAAAGGAGGTAGGATTACAACCAAGAATAACCAACCCAGCAAAACTGAGTATAATCCATTGTGGGGGGGAGCAATGGGAGTGGGTAGGTGGGATGGACATTTAGTGAAATAGAGGACTTTCAAGCATTCCTGATGAAAAGACCAAAGCTGAACAAAAAATTTGACTTTCAAATATAAGACTCGAGCATAAAAAGGTAAAATGAAATGGAAATCATAAAGGACTCAAGATTAAACTCTTTCCTTCCTATAGGGGAAGATAACACATGTATCTTCTAAAAATTTTATCATTATAAGGGCAGTTAGGAGTCTACATAGATCGAGAACATGGGTGTGAGTAGATTAGGTTGGGATGGTCTTCCAAAAAAATGGAAGGGTGAGAAAGAGGAAAGCACTGGAAGATGGGGGAAGGGAGAAGAAAAAATGTGGGAAATTATCTCACTTAAAAGAGGCACATGAAGAGCTTTTACAGTGGAGAGGAAAATGGAGGAGGGGAGATTAGACAATAATTGAACCTTACTGTTATCTGGACTGGTTCAAGGAGAGAATATATATATACATACATACATACATACATACATACATACACATTCAGGTGGGTATAGAACCCATCTTACCCAACAGGGAAGTAGGAGAGGAAGGGGATAAGAGAAAGGATGAGGGGGAGAATTAAGAGAGGCAGTGGTCAGAAGCAAAACAGACTTTTGAGGAGGGACAGGGTAAAAAAAGATAAACAGAAGAAAATAGATTGGAGGGAAATACGCAGTCCTCATAACTAAATGTGAATGGGATGAACTCGCCCATAAAATGGAAATGGATAGCAGAATAGACTAGAAACCAGAATCCAATAATATGTCGCTTATAAGAAATACCATTGAAACAGTTAAAATAAGGGGCTGGAGCAAAATCTATTTTGATTTAGTTGAAGTAATCAGGGGTGGAAATCATAATCTCAGGCAAAGCAAAAGCAAAATAACTCATTAAGAGATAATCAAAGGAACTGCATTTTGCTAAAAGGTACCATAGACAATGAAGCACTATCAATGATAATCATATGTGCACTAAATGGCCTACAATCCAAATTCTTAAAGGCGAAGTTGAATGAATGATTGGAGGAAATACAGTAAAACTAAACTAGTGAGAGATCTCAATTTACCCCTTTCAGAACCAGATAAACATAACCATAACATAAACAAGAAATTTAGGAGATGAATAGAATTTTAGAAAAATTTAGAAAAATGGTAGACCTCTGGAGAATACTCACTGGTAATAGAAAAGAATATACCTGTTTCTCAGCTTGCATGGTTGCTTGCCTTCTTAATGGATGTGGGAGGGGTTAGAGGGAGGAAGATTATTTGGAACTCAAAGTGTTTTTTTTAAAGGAATGGTAAAAATAAATAAGTGATTAAAAAATACTTAGTAGCTTCCAGTAAGAACCAGAGGAAATCTTAGATTGTATTATTCCAAAAGGCAAAAAGGACTTACATCCAAGAGTAACTTCTGCAAAAGTGAGTATAATCCTACAGATTAGCAAAACAGTTCTTTAATGGAATAGTGTTGAGTATTTCTGATTAAAAGACTGTAGCTGTGTAGGAATTTTGAAATAAAAATGAGTCCAGAGAAACCTAGGAAGGTTAATTTAAGCAACTGGAAGGAGCTGTGTGTTAAGGTAGTGCTAACATTTTAATTGGAAGAGAAGAAAAGTGTCACTTCAGAACCTTAATATCTTCAAACTGCATTAAGGGAGTTAAATTTTAAAAATAGGACTGGGGGTGGGGGTGGGGCATGGATTGGTTCTGGGTTTTTTAATTTTTTTCAATCAACACATTTTCTCTCCCTCTCCACCTATTTTTTTTAAAGAAAGAAACCTTGTAACAAATATAGTCTAACAGAACTAATTTCTCTACATTTCTCTAATTTTTTTCTCCAAAACTGTGCAAATTCCTTGTGAAAACTTTTTTTTCTTCACATGTGTATTTTAGCAGTTTATATTAAAATAGTTCTTTTTCTACGGTGCCAATATCCCACACCTTTTGGCAACTAATACAAATTTATTCCTTTACCCAAAAAAAACTCTCCATACCCTTTTTTAATCATTAACTATTCCTTAAGACAAGGGCTTTAACAAGACAGTTCACCTTAGTCTTGGTTCCAGCCTTAAAAAAAAAAAAAAGAACCATGTCATATTTTTGCATTTATCCTTAGTTATTGGTCTTCATTCTTACTTCTCTCGTATATTGTCATGTACTTTTAAAATCTGAGGTCTGCCAAGAGCACCCTATATAACCACACATAATGATCTTTTCAGGCACTTTGCCTTTTAATCATCAGAAAGTTTTTGAGATGGCATTTTTACACATTGGCTTTTAAAACCCTCCCATCCACTTTGAATGAACTAATGTTTTAAGTCAGCCCGTGTAATCAATCAAACCTATATTACCTCTGAAATTTCTACAATCCCGTTTTCTAAAATTTAGGAGATACATCAGACTATCCCCAGAATTCCCCACCTCATCTATTCTGAAATTTTTCATAACAATGTTCATATTCCCTATTTCATTGGTTCACATATTCTATTTCACCAGTTCCTCTGATTCAGAGCAGTAGTTACCCTCATTGCTTCCTCTTCTTCATGAATGGTGAAATTATTGGACGAAACAAAAATTTGTTAGATACTCTGTTTTTACTCCACATCCTTAAAGTCCTCCAACATAACTATCCTCCTTCCATGCCAGTTTAGTGATCTATCAGGGACTCATCTGTTTTCTCTCTCCCTCCCCCTCCCCCTCCCCATCCCTCTCCCCCCTTCCCCTTGTCCCTCTGTCTCTTTCTGGTAGATTTCAACTCAAGTCTTTTCTGGTCTTAAAGAGGTCCTTTATGACTGAAAATTTATAACATTCAAACACTTGCTGC